TCAGATTGAATTATCGCGAGTCTGCTGTACACTAGAACCCAAATTACACAACTTTCAGGAGACCACGCAAAACCATCGTGTAATCGAAAAACTAGGCTTATAGGCAGTGATACTCAGCCTTGCCAAAAAAGAGGTTCAGACTGCCTGAATAAGTTCATGGCACAACCATGTGCCACTGGAAGAAAGGTAGATGAAATTATTCTTGCCAGAGGCCGCTAATGGCCGCATTAATTAGTTGAAGGAAATACGAGCCAACGTTTATTCTCAACCTTAAAAAAAAAATTGAATCCTATGCGGATCTTTATATCGATAAATAGAGTCCACGAATTGCCTGCACGTCAAAACGAAACCGAAACCGCGTTGCCAACAGCCTGCTGTCAGAAGAGCGAGACACAGCGTCATTGCTATCAAATAATGGCGACAGACTATGAGCTTGCATAAAATGCCTTCGTGCACGAGTAAGCTGCGCGCCTTGTAATTTGTTGCCTTGCAAAGTGCAATTAGTCGTGTCCCGCTCTTATTACGAACGCTGACTTTAAGTGAAAATAATTTTGCATGGTGAAATCATCTACGTCCTGCCCTTATGCATGATAGCAAGTGCAACAAAGGCAGATCAGCTGTGTGTCAACCAAGAAAAGTTTCCACGAACCAAAAGTGAAAATAGCAGCTCTTTGATTGGCTGAAGCTACTATGTGTGGCTAGAGCATGACTAGGTAACGACCCCAGATATGTACGCAAACGATAGAGGCGTATGTAGGACACATCTTCCAGGATATTAAATTTTCCGTTCTAAGAAGATGCCCTGTCTCACTCCACTTTTCTAGCAGTCAACCTAAGACAACGCAAATTCACATTTTGCCCTCGTGGATATTTGGTCGACATTTGATTTGAGTAAAGGTGTTTTTTTTTCTCTAAAAGCTGTACGATGCAGGGTCAGCGCAATACTGTGTCATATTTCCATGGTTCTTAATGCATTACTTCTACAAGAATTTTGCCGGGGCCGAACCGATTCGTCAAAAGATGTGGGTCATCGCGAAACCGGGAGATGTATAATCGAAGTTCCACCATATATACATGCCTCCCCGCGGTGGTCTAGTGGCTAAGGCACTCGGCTGCTGGCCTGCATGTTGCGGGATCAAATCTCGGCTGCGGCGGCTTCATTTTCTATGGAAGCGAAAATGCTGTTGGCCCGTATGCTCAAATTTGTGTGCATGTTAAAGAAGCCCAGGTGGTCGAAATTTTCGAAGCCCTCCACTACGGCATCTCTCATAATCATATGGTGGTTTTGGGACGTTAAACCCCACATATCGATTGATCTATCAATCACTGTATATGCGTGACTTAGATTGTCCTTTTAGAAGTTTCATACTGTATTTATTTATTTGTTCTGAAGAGTTCAAGCAAAAATAACAACTTTCGAGAAGCCCCATATATCTTTCCCACTCCAAGTTCCTATGACACGGTCACACATCCAGGATTCCAGCAATAATATGCGACCAACCCCTAGAAGTCATGTACCTTCAGGAACAATGTATTTCCTGTCAAAAATACGCCATACTTCCATAACAGCCCCGATGAGAATTAATCATTGATTGATGAAATTTTGGGCTTTAATGTCCCAAAGCAACTCTTGGCCTAAAACGCAGTGTGATGGACAGATTCAGGCAAATTTTTGACCAACCTTACTGTGCACAGTATGACCAAAGCAAACGAGCGCTTAGTAGTGGAAAGATTTTTTTTTTCAAGGCTTTCTACAGAGCTATGTGCCTTGAAAATTGCATCATTACCCTGTACAGTGAAACCAGTTTTGACTGCTTCAAGCCAAAACGGTACAGTCAACTCTTGCTACAACGAAATTGACGAGACACGCAAAAAAATTTGTTGCTGCAGAATTTTGTTATAAGGTAATTTCATCTATAGACCACAAGATTTGGCAAGATCTGATCACCATGACTCATTTTTCCAGCCCAGCAAGAGCATGCACTGAACTCTTGCCAACCTGGACATACCAGACCCACACCGAGTGAACGTAGTATTTTCTCGCGGATAACCTATCATCGCAGATCAATACATACAAAAAATTTCAGCTAAGCAGATGTGCAAGTTATAAGAGTATTTTGGTGCATAAGTTGGCTTCACAACACGCCTCACAGTAACGCAAGGAAGGTGGCCTTGCGTCGATACGCTGGTACTTTTTTTTTTCTCTCTCTCGCATTTCGAAGTCGAAAGTCCCGGTTATGTGCAGGGGCAGGTTATACGCAAGAAAATACAATATTCAGACTACTTTTGGAGTGTGCCGACTGCGCAGCGCCGCGAACAAGCGTGCCAAAGCTTCGCTAAAGGCAAAGTGAACGACAGGGAAGCCGTAAACGCTTCGTGCCATTTTGCAGGTTTATTGCCTTTAATTTAAGCTGTGTTGTGCACCTTCGCAGCGTATTTCCTATCGATGAACGGGACAATAGCTTCAGGCATAACGGTGCTGTTCGATCATGACAGCTTACACCTTGCAACGGCCAATGTGTACTTCAGTGTACATCATCATCGTCAACCTGACTACGCCCACTGCAGGGCAAAGGTCTATTACATGATCTGCTAATCAACCTGGTCTTGTGCTTTCTGCTCCCACGTTATACCTGCTAACTTTTTTATCTCATCTGCTCACCTAACTTTCTGTCGCACCTTCATGCGTTTGCCTTCTCTGGAAATCCAGTCAGTTACCCTCAATGACCAGCGGTTATCTTGCTTATGTGCGACGTGCCCGGCCCATTGCCATTTCTTCTTGATTTCAACTATGATATGTACAGCAATGCATAAATTCAGTATGTGCTTAACTGCCTTTCAGTGAGTGTTTAAATCCTAATGCAGTGCACAGTGCCACTGTGCTTACTGTTTTCCTCCATATTCTGAAAAGTTTTCAAGGCAGTATTGAATTCAAACCAGGACCCGATTTCAGACTCTGAAGTGGTGCTAGTACCACAAAGGCTGGGATTTCAGTTGGTCTTACTAAGCATACCTAGTAAGTTCGACAATGTCTGCATGCCAGGACAGACTGACAGCACAAACAAAGTCCAGAGTCTAGGAATACAACAGTGCCAATGCCATTGTGGCGCTTGTGGCCGCATTTGTGCCACATACCGTTGTACATAACGTCAATGTCGTCAAGAATTGCTGCAAATTGGAGCAGCTGCTCGTAGCCCATTCTTACCGAGCATGTCGGCACAACAGCCTCCACATTGACAGCACAGCTAGTGCATGAGCTATGGCTTTCTTTATCCATAAAGGAGATAAACACACGAGAATAGCGTTGTTCAGCTGCGCTGCTAAACCAGACATGACTCTGCAAGTAGGCTTCAAAGCACACACAGGCGCGCAGCAGCAAACAGCGGTCCCTGATCCGCACCATGCCATTTAAAAGCCAGTCCTGGCATTCGCGGCAAAAACGTGGATCTTATTATTTCTTCTGCTGCAGCAGCACGGGAAATGGTCATTATTTGATGAGTGAAGCTCGGCTCTGTCTCATGCGATTGACAACGTCGAGCGGCGACGCTTTATCAGCGGCAAGGTGCTCGAAGACTGCCCACTTTCGGCCTTTCAACGGTCACCTTGTGCTCTTTAGACACAATTTTAAAGTATTTCCAGTTGAGTCTCGAATTAGTCTTTTTTTTTTTTCAGAACAGTAGAAGTAATGTATTTATTCAAGTAACAAACGCACTCTCATAATAAACGCACCCCCAACTTCAGTCAAAATTTAAATTTTTCTTTTCCCTGTGTACTAAACGCACTCCCTACATTCGTCCGCTGCAGTCCTTCTAATTGACACCTGGCGCCTCTTTTTGCTCGTTGGATCCCTTCCGTTTTTTCATTATTATGCCGACCTTCCTCGGCCACCTCGGCTCACTCCCTTCCCCTCTTCGCCCGCTGCTGCGCACTGTATAAACTTTCTATCTGTGCACGGCAAGTACCCAGTCTTTTTTTAAATATCTATGCGCCACAGCAGGGTTCACGAACCATGCAAGTGTAGAGGCATCGCAGCTGACAAGCACACAGCAAGCGAAGGTCGCGAAACTTCTCGCGCCAACCAATGGTCACTTCCTGAAAATACGAAACTTTAAAAGCCCAACCACATGCACGAAATTTTCGGGGGAGGACGACAGAATTTGCTGTCACTATGGCAGTCGCAAAGGGCCATTCATTGCCATCGCATCGCAGGTTTCTGGAAAACTAAAAAGAAATTACCTGTCCCCCCCCCCCAGAAAAGATCGAGACTATTTCAGCAACATGGCTTCCGATTCTCACTTCGATTGCAAGCAAGGCGGCCACCGTATTCTGTCGTCAATCTTGTTATCTATGGTTTGTTTTGATGCTTTGGTGGTAGCTTGCTGCAATGTTGGTTGCCTACAACAATGTCAATGACGTCGTTCCGGTCGTTGGGCGAGGTTGCCACAAAGTTGGCAAAGTACGTCGTGGCGTCTTAGCGCACGCTTCTGGGCACCCCTCAAGACCACAGTAGATACAACTGTGGTGGTTTAACGATTACGAGAAAAGATAGCCGCAAAACACTTTTAAAGCTTGCATGTGCGGCGCGGGAACAGCTTGAAGAAGATAGCACCTTCAACCACCGAAGATGAGTGAAGTGCAACAAAAAAGCTGAGCGACCTAACTTTTTTTATTTTTGCATTACCACACTTTTTTGCTCATAGCGAAAAAAAGTTTTTTAAAACTTGCCCTACATAATAAACGCACCCCCGATTTTGCTCGGATTTTTCGAGAAGAACAGTGCATTCATTATTTCGAGTAAACAAGGTACTATAATCTTGTTAAAACTGGCGAGGAAAAATAGGTATGCTTAAAGAAAAATCACGTTTTTCGACCCGCATCTCCCTTTAATATGTCTTTATTGTATAAGACAATGCACGTTCTGTGCTTGACTGCACTGCAGCTACTTGACCTAAAAGCTTAACATTAACAGATATTTGGATTTATATGATAAGCTAACTTACCTTTCACACCTGTTGTCACTGCTGCAAGCCCCAATTCTTTCAGCCGATTCTGTGGCACTGATGTGCAGCTCCATGTGGTCCGCAGCATGAATCCTGAACCTTCCAGGTTTCACATGGAAAAGCACTCCGGCGGACAACTCCAGGTCCAGAGGGCAAGGGCTATCATTTTTCAGCCAGACTTTAGTTTGTCCTCTGCCACAACACACTTCCAAGGGCTGCATTAAATGTGCAAGGTCAGCCTGAATGCCATATTTAAATGCAAAAAAATGTAGGCTTGTGCAAATATTCCAATTTGCTTTGATTCGAATTTAAATTATCGAAAATTCCAAATATTCGAGATGAACATACACAGTAGAATCTTGATAATACGAATTCAAACAAAGCAGTAAAATATTCGTATCATCTCGAATTCGTATGAACAAAAAAAGTTAAAGTTGATCATGAAGAGAACACAAACTTTATTGGGATTAACTACTTCTTGCTAAAAAAAAATCCATAATGCTTTTATAAATCCACTGCTTTCGCTGCCTTTCAATAAAGTGCTGTGGTTTTCTCACTCATGCACTTACCAATCTACTTTTACCAATTAAGAACCAGCTTAGGCTCAAATGGACCAAGTCGAAATCTACAATGTCACGGCTTTCAGTGTGGCGCTGCTGCCCACATTTTCTTTTTGCGCGTTCTCTCGCTTACCAAGAGCCTTTTCACAACAACTGTGGAGATCTTGTGAAAGAGCAATTTACTGGCACGTAAAAATTTTTTTCCACTGTTTCAAGGACTCCTGGCCGTAACCTAGGCGGGGCCAATCACCCACCTCATCTACTCGCCGGACTCAGAATAAAGTTCTTTCCTCCTCCTCCTTCACTGTCCCTACATGTTGCATAAATTTACATGCCTTGTCTCCGACAGACATTGCAGAGGTCACGTTTAAGAATACCTCCAACTTATTGCAAAAAAAAAAGACTTCATATTAAAGTCTTAATATGAGAAAATTGCACAAGACACTTATGTAAATACAGCAACATTAAAAGCATTTCGGCAGCAATATAAAGGAAAAAAATTAAGAAACCAAACAATGATGCAGAAATGCGATACTCGACACAGCATTAAGTGCCACAAAACACATAATATTAAGCGTGATAAAAGAGTCGTAGCTAACACAGAAGGGGCAAGATAAGATACAGTAAAAGCTCGTTAATATGAACTGCAAGGAAAATCTGCCACAGTTCGAATTAACGAAAGTGAAGAACAACAATAGTGCACTGCGAGTAGGGCATAATTTATTTTTTGAAAAAATCTGTGATCGCGGTCTGCCTTCTTTCCTCGAAGGCGACAGCCAGCACTTTTTGCTCTAACGTGCGAATTTGGCGGAAGGCCTCTTCTCTGCCTTCTTCAAAACTTAAGAAAAGACTGGCGGCATTCAATCTGGCCATGACTTTTGCAGCAGAGGGCCGCATTGGTGCTCCATTCCTCCTCCTCATCGTCGTCACTGGCAGCGACAGGTTCTGCACTTCTCACCTGACATAGTATGTCGCCATCCGTGAGTGCACCACACACCACTGCGCTTGAGTCTACATCGACGTAGTCCACAAAGCAGACGTCTTCCAAAACGTCCGCCATGGGGGCGGTTACGCCGTGTTCGAGCACTGGTGGCTCGTCAGCTTGCAGAGCTTCGGTGCTGAAGCCACAGTGTCGAAAGCAATTTGCTACCGTAAGCATTGTCACTTACTCCCAAGCACGCACAAGCATGTGTAGTGCACTTAGGAGTGTCACTTGGTAGTTATTGCACAAAATAATTCGTTCCAACATATGATGCCGATAAAATGATTTTAAATCTCTAATTATACCCTGGTCCATGAACTGCAGAACCGCTGTTGTGTTTGCTGGAAGGAAGTGTTTTGGCACAGTATTTGCCGCGGGCACACGCCATCGAGTGGAGCAGCAGAATCGCGACAGACAGAAAGCTACTACCGGCGCTACGGCAACAAGCGTTAGCGGAGGCCTAACATTAACACAAAGAATTGCGACAGTCGGAAGCTACTCCCAGCATCAACAACCGAGGTGTACAACGCACACCCGAGACAGCAGAGAAGGCTGGGCGAAGCTACGACGCACTAGATTAGCCGTGTGCTGGTCATGCCATCTGTCGTCTAACAGCGACAACTACGCAGGATTTTCAAAGGATTTGAGATTGGCGCTTAAAGAAAAAAAATCTTGGAGGTTACGTAGGAAGGAAAGCAGGCAGCCGCCGAGAGAAAGTTGTGGGGGGAGGGGGGTGAAGAGTAAGTGGTGCTATTTTCTGCACTCTGAGCTCTGTGCCAGTTTCTCCATTTTTCTCTTCGCTACCTGTTAACGCCACCTCGTAACTCGGCAGCCGCCCTATCGAGTGACTAGCCAAGCCGCCGGCGCGGTGGCGCGTAGTTCGAATTATCCGCGGCGGAACCTAGTCGCGTTCGAATTAACGGGGTTTTTATTCATAGGCTTGTATAGGAGCTTGGCCGGACCACAACTTACAGTTCGAATTATCCATAAATTCGAATTATTGAAGTTCAAATTAACGAGCTTTCACTGTATGTCACAACAAGGATTACTAAAACAAAGACAAAATAGGCAATTAAAAAAGCAACAGGCAAACAAACTAGCCATACCTCGCAAGCGTTGACATGCTCCAGCGTCAGCGATGGTGGCTTGATAGATGCACGAAGGCCAACTCCTGCCAGAAGCCTGCGAGAGAGCAGGCATCCATCCAGGAGCACCTCCAACTTGGCCTGCACAACAAGGCCTGCAGAAAGAAAGCAAGAGTGCAATATGATAATTGCAAGGAATCACCGATTCAGTGGATAAATTTGGGGATTTTTAAACTTCGCCTTTAAGAGTTGAATGCGAAACGATATTCTGTTCCTAGGGCATACTGCAACCACTTAATGCATGAAATATTTTGGAACTTGCAATGCACCCGCTACGTTGCCTTAAAGGGAATAGGTGCAGTAACAGTGTGCCTTTTGTAGTGAGTGACCGGCTTTAAACTACGAAGCCATTATGATAATCACATGTTCCAACGCCTGATGGCAATGTACGCTTGTATCAAGCATTATTACTGCAACATTAACGGGATAGCATTAAAGAGTTCGTTTCGCAGAAATTCCGGCATCGGAATCGTTGGTTGTGAGGAAAAAAATCATCATCTTATGCAAGACGTAAAAATCAAGAGCGATGTAAATAAAATAAATGATTGAGAAAAATTCTAGAGCTGAGTGGTGACAGAATCGGGGATGTTTGAGTCCAAGTGGGGAACGAACTCGGGTTGTTTGCATGCCAAGCGGATCTTCTACTACACGGCTACGCCTCTGCTTGTGAAAATAGCGAAAAGAACTTCCTCTGCTTGGAAATGCAGTGAAAGTAGCTTTCATGCTTCGCAAACACACGCATCCTGTATACATGCTTCACAATGTAACCTGAAATATTGCAGTAATAATGCGTGGTACAAGCAAGCATCCATTGCCAACGGCCGTGAGAATATTTGATTACATAATGGCTCCGTGGTTTAAAGCCAGGCAACATAGTGGGTGCATAACAAATTCGAAAAGGTTTCATGCCCAAAGTGTTTGAAGTACGCACAAAGAACAGAATGTCACTATCACGTTCAACTCCTTAAGGCAAAGCTTTGGGGTCCCCTAATATTTTTTCTTTGTATTGTGAAACATGTATACAGGACACATGTGTTTGCAAAGCATGAAAGTTAGGTACTTTCACTGCATTTCCAGCAGAGGAAGCTAGTATATTTACAGTATTCACAAGCAGACGCATGACTGTGTGGTAAAACACCCACTAGCCACCCAAACGACCCGGGTCCGATCCCCACTCTGACCCAGTACTTTTTCATTATCGTACTTTATTTGGTTGCGGGGTCGAATCCCGGCTGCGGCAGCTGCATTTCCGATGGAGGCGGAAATGTTGTAGGCCCGTGTGCTCAGATTTAGGTGCACGTTAAAGAACCCCAGGTGGTCGAAATTTCCGAAGCCCTTCACTACGGCATCTCTCATAATCATATGGTGGTTTTGGGACGTTAAACCCCACATATCAATCAACAAAACACAAACCACCACCAATAGGTCGAAGGAGACACTTATGAAACGTTCTTGAATAATGAACAGCAGGGCTGCAAAGCTCCTTACCGCTGCCTTGTTACTAGAATGAACATTTGAAGAGTTTTCTTTCACGGAGGAAGCTGTAAGGTCTATCAAGTGTGGCTTGAAATTTTCATTTCATGCTTGTGCTGAATCTGGCTTATAGATAAGTCTTGCCAAGCATTGACCATCTGGTTTAGTTCTTACACAGCCTCGTATAGTCAGATAACTGTTTAAGGTCTTGCATTGTTACACAACACTGCATTCGGAACACACTCCAACCTTGACATAACGAACCCAAATATAACAAAATATCAGTTATAACGAAGTAACTGAAAAATATTCTTGCAATAGATATAGTGTTTGGATCTATAACGAATTCGGGTATAACAAACTTACTTTGGAGCAAGATTCAATCTTGTTATAATGAGGTTTGAGTCTAGCACATATTTTCGCCACACAACATAAAGCGGGCACAAGTGGCCAGGGAAAACATCACTATTACTGATAAGCTGCCCTGCAAAGAGGGAATACTCACGGTCGGCACTACGTGTAGAGCAATCCACAATAAACGAAGTGGCAGTGCGCTCCTCCTTGCTTGGAAGAATGACGGAAAAACGTGCCTGGTCCTTGTTGGCCTCGACTTCCTCGGACCTCACAGCGAACACTCCCTCGCCCTGCGTGCGTCACTTCACTTTACCCTCAACTGCACAAAGCTGTACAGAGGAAAGTGGGATACGTAAAGTAAACAAAAGTAAGTTTGGCACTTTCCTTCACTTCTGCTCACCTCCTTTTTTTCACGAAACGCATTTTGCAAGTGTAGCACGGTCGGTTCCTCTTAAACAGAACTCAAGGGAGATCCATAAAACTGTTCCATTTATCAGAAGTTTCATTTAAGCAAAGTACACTTTAGTGAACCAAGAACTTTATTCAAAGTGCACAAACCTCACCTTACTCATGAGGATGAGTAAGAGAAAAAAGGAGTAAAGAGTGGTTTGTTTGACTAGCTTGAGTTGTTTTTTCACAAGGTACGCATCCATGCCTGACAAAATAGCTAGAAATTCTGGACAAGCCTCATGCTCATAATAGCGCTGTAAAGTTCAACAGGCTCTTTAGCTGATCGGTCTGGTGCCACCACTACACTGGCAGTATTGTCATCACATTCATCGCTGGAAGATTGCTCCTCATCTTGAACTTCGGCATCATTTCCTCGACAGTCTCTTCACGACAGGTACAAACGTTTTCATCAATTGATTCGTAGTCCTGCAGCGTGAAAGGGGCCGAGGACCCGACCTGACTGACTACTGTCTCAATGTCGGAATCAGCAGGGCTTTCTTCTTCATCAGGTACTGCTTTCTTGCGCTTGAAAGCCAGCATTGTGAAAGCATCTGTGTATTGTTGTTGCCTTCACTTGCTCCCAGGCACAAGCCAAAATAAATCTATGCTGTAGCATTTCCCACTGCCTGCTCTAAGCAGCATTTGATGGAGCAATTGTCTGCGGTTATGAACTTTGATGTTCTGAATAACCCCTTAATTTATTGGCTGGATCACTGCCGTTGCATTGGCTGGCAAGAACTCCAGAATGATGGCTTGGAGTCCTTGAGCCTGACCGTGCATTGGGCAATTATCCACGATGAAGACAACCTTCCTGCCTTGCCTCGTAAGTCTTGCGTCTTCCTCCCAAAGCCAGTTTTCGAAAATGGCCATGGTTCTCCACGCTCTTTCCGTTCCCATGGTACGCAACGGAAAGGCGTCGAACGCCTTTGAAACTTGTGTGCCTTAATTTTCTTATTACCAAAAGCTTTCTTTCTCATCTCCTGCTATGCTTGCACTCACCAGCACAGTGATGCGATCTTTACTGCATTTTCCTCCGCTAGAGGCTTCGCCTTCAAAGGTTAGAGTGTTTGATGGAAGCGTCTTATAAAAAGACCCATCTCGTCGACGGTGAAGACATCTCGTGGCTCAAAGCTTATCAAGATTTCCTCAAGCCGCCCCTGTTGCCAGTCGGTGCAAATGTCCCTGTTGTCTGCACCACTCTCACCTGAGATTGTTTTGATGACTAGGCCATGGCGTGTTTTGAAGCGTCTGAGCCATCCGTCGCTTAGGACAAAGTTCTTAACATCCATTTGCATGGTGATCTCTCGAGCTTTCTGCTCGAGAATTGGCCCGCTTATGGGCAAATTGGAACTCCGTGCACGCTTGAACCACAGAAAAATAAATTTTTCTAGTTGTTCATAAGGCGTCGTCTGCATCCGCATCCATTTAGATGTAAAGGTCCCATTCTTAACAGTGCCTTCAATATTTTTGGTCGTCTTTCCAGATTCGCGACAGTGCCGATTTCGGGATGTATTTTTTTGCCACCTCCGTCTTGGGCAGGCCGCTTCGATTGAGCTCCTGAAGAATTTGCAGCTTTTTTTGAAGCGAGAGTGCTTGGTGCAGCCACTTCCTTTCCATCGGGCTGAAATAACACCCGTGATCTAGCCAAGCCGCCGGCGCGGTGGCGCGTAGTTCGAATTATCCGCGGCGGAACCTAGTCGCGTTCGAATTACGGGGTTTTTATTCATAGGCTTGTATAGAGCTTGGCCGACCACAACTTACAGTTCGAATTATCCATAAATTCGAATTATTGAAGTTCAAATTAACGAGCTTTCACTGTATGTCACAACAAGGATTACTAAAACAAAGACAAATAGGCAATTAAAAAAGCAACAGGCAAACAAACTAGCCATACCTCGCAAGCGTTGACATGCTCCAGCGTCAGCGATGGTGGCTTGATAGATGCACGAAGGCCAACTCCTGCCAGAAGCCTGCGAGAGAGCAGGCATCCATCCAGGAGCACCTCCAACTTGGCCTGCACAACAAGGCTGCAGAAAGAAAGCAAGAGTGCAATATGATAATTGCAAGGAATCACCGATTCAGTGATAAATTTGGGGATTTTTAAACTTCGCCTTTAAGAGTTGAATGCGAAACGATATTCTGTTCCTAGGGCATACTGCAACCACTTAATGCATGAAATATTTTGGAACTTGCAATGCACCCGCTACGTTGCCTTAAAGGGAATAGGTGCAGTAACAGTGTGCCTTTTGTAGTGAGTGACCGGCTTTAAACTACGAAGCCATTATGATAATCACATGTTCCAACGCCTGATGGCAATGTACGCTTGTATCAAGCATTATTACTGCAACATTAACGGGTATAGCATTAAAGAGTTCGTTTCGCAGAAATTCCGGCATCGGAATCGTTGGTTGTGAGGAAAAAAATCATCATCTTATGCAAGACGTAAAAATCAAGAGCGATGTAAATAAAATAAATGATTGAGAAAAATTCTAGAGCTGAGTGGTGACAGAATCGGGGATGTTTGAGTCCAAGTGGGGAACGAACTCGGGTTGTTTGCATGCCAAGCGGATCTTCTACTACACGGCTACGCCTCTGCTTGTGAAAATAGCGAAAAGAACTTCCTCTGCTTGGAAATGCAGTGAAAGTAGCTTTCATGCTTCGCAAACACACGCATCCTGTATACATGCTTCACAATGTAACCTGAAATATTGCAGTAATAATGCGTGGTACAAGCAAGCATCCATTGCCAACGGCCGTGAGAATATTTGATTACATAATGGCTCCGTGGTTTAAAGCCAGGCAACATAGTGGGTGCATAACAAATTCGAAAAGGTTTCATGCCCAAAGTGTTTGAAGTACGCACAAAGAACAGAATGTCACTATCACGTTCAACTCCTTAAGGCAAAGCTTGGGGTCCCCTAATATTTTTTCTTTGTATTGTGAAACATGTATACAGGACACATGTGTTTGCAAAGCATGAAAGTTAGGTACTTTCACTGCATTTCCAGCAGAGGAAGCTAGTATATTTACAGTATTCACAAGCAGACGCATGACTGTGTGGTAAAACACCCACTAGCCACCCAAACGACCCGGGTCCGATCCCCACTCTGACCCAGTACTTTTTCATTATCGTACTTTATTTGGTTGCGGGGTCGAATCCCGGCTGCGGCAGCTGCATTTCCGATGGAGGCGGAAATGTTGTAGGCCCGTGTGCTCAGATTTAGGTGCACGTTAAAGAACCCCAGGTGGTCGAAATTTCCGAAGCCCTTCACTACGGCATCTCTCATAATCATATGGTGGTTTTGGGACGTTAAACCCCACATATCAATCAACAAAACACAAACCACCACCAATAGGTCGAAGGAGACACTTATGAACGTTCCTTGAATAATGAACAGCAGGGCTGCAAAGCTCCTTACCGCTGCCTTGTTACTAGAATGAACATTTGAAGAGTTTTCTTTCACGGAGGAAGCTGTAAGGTCTATCAAGTGTGGCTTGAAATTTTCATTTCATGCTTGTGCTGAATCTGGCTTATAGATAAGTCTTGCCAAGCATTGACCATCTGGTTTAGTTCTTACACAGCCTCGTATAGTCAGATAACTGTTTAAGGTCTTGCATTGTTACACAACACTGCATTCGGAACACACTCCAACCTTGACATAACGAACCCAAATATAACAAAATAAGTAACTGAAAAATATTCTTGCAATAGATATAGTGTTTGGATCTATAACGAATTCGGGTATAACAAACTTACTTTGGAGCAAGATTCAATCTTGTTATAATGAGGTTTGAGTCTAGCACATATTTTCGCCACACAACATAAAGCGGGCACAAGTGGCCAGGGAAAACATCACTATTACTGATAAGCTGCCCTGCAAAGAGGGAATACTCACGGTCGGCACTACGTGTAGAGCAATCCACAATAAACGAAGTGGCAGTGCGCTCCTCCTTGCTTGGAAGAATGACGGAAAAACGTGCCTGGTCCTTGTTGGCCTCGACTTCCTCGGACCTCACAGCGAACACTCCCTCGCCCTGCGTGCGTCACTTCACTTTACCCTCAACTGCACAAAGCTGTACAGAGGAAAGTGGGATACGTAAAGTAAACAAAAGTAAGTTTGGCACTTTCCTTCACTTCTGCTCACCTCCTTTTTTTCACGAAACGCATTTTGCAAGTGTAGCACGGTCGGTTCCTCTTAAACAGAACTCAAGGGAGATCCATAAAACTGTTCCATTTATCAGAAGTTTCATTTAAGCAAAGTACACTTTAGTGAACCAAGAACTTTATTCAAAGTGCACAAACCTCACCTTACTCATGAGGATGAGTAAGAGAAAAAAGGAGTAAAGAGTGGTTTGTTTGACTAGCTTGAGTTGTTTTTTCACAAGGTACGCATCCATGCCTGACAAAATAGCTAGAAATTCTGGACAAGCCTCATGCTCATAATAGCGCTGTAAAGTTCAACAGGCTCTTTAGCTGATCGGTCTGGTGCCACCACTACACTGGCAGTATTGTCATCACATTCATCGCTGGAAGATTGCTCCTCATCTTGAACTTCGGCATCATTTCCTCGACAGTCTCTTCACGACAGGTACAAACGTTTTCATCAATTGATTCGTAGTCCTGCAGCGTGAAAGGGGCCGAGGACCCGACCTGACTGACTACTGTCTCAATGTCGGAATCAGCAGGGCTTTCTTCTTCATCAGGTACTGCTTTCTTGCGCTTGAAAGCCAGCATTGTGAAAGCATCTGTGTATTGTTGTTGCCTTCACTTGCTCCCAGGCACAAGCCAAAATAAATCTATGCTGTAGCATTTCCCACTGCCTGCTCTAAGCAGCATTTGATGGAGCAATTGTCTGCGGTTATGAACTTTGATGTTCTGAATAACCCCTTGATTTATTGGCTGGATCACTGCCGTTGCATTGGCTGGCAAGAACTCCAGAATGATGGCTTGGAGTCCTTGAGCCTGACCGTGCATTGGGCAATTATCCACGATGAAGACAACCTTCCTGCCTTGCCTCGTAAGTCTTGCGTCTTCCTTCCAAAGCCAGTTTTCGAACATGGCCATGGTTCTCTACGCTCTTCCGTTCCCATGGTACACAATGGAAAGGTGTCGAACGCCTTTGAAACGTGTGTGCCTTGATTTTCTTATTACCAAAAGCTTTCTTTCTCATCTCCTGCTATGCTTACACTCACCAGCACAGTGATGCGATCTTTACTGCATTTCCCTCCGCTAGAGGCTTCGCTTTCAAAGGTTAGAGTGTTTGATGGAAGCGTCTTATAAAAAAGACCCATCTCGTCGACGGTGAAGACATCTCGTGGCTCAAAGCTTATCAAGATTTCCTCAAGCCGCCCCTGTTGCCAGTCGGTGCAAATGTCCCTGTTGTCTGCACCACTCTCACCTGAGATTGTTTTGATGACTAGGCCATGGTGTGTTTTGAAGCGTCTGAGCCATCCGTCGCTTAGGACAAAGTTCTTAACATCCATTTGCATGGTGATCTCTCGAGCTTTCTGCTCGAGAATTGGCCCGCTTATGGGCAAATTGGAACTCCGTGCACGCTTGAACCACAGAAAAATAAATTTTTCTAGTTGTTCATAAGGCGTCGTCTGCATCCGCATCCATTTAGATGTAAAGGTCCCATTCTTAACAGTGCCTTCAATATTTTTGGTCGTCTTTCCAGATTCGCGACAGTGCCGATTTCGGGATGTATTTTTTTGCCACCTCCGTCTTGGGCAGGCCGCTTCGATTGAGCTCCTGAAGAATTTGCAGCTTTTTTTGAAGCGAGAGTGCTTGGTGCAGCCACTTCCTTTCCATCGGGCTGAAATAACACCCGTGATCTACCGCACTTAGCCGCACAAATAGGCTTAACGCTCAACTGACTTGCCGACTTGGCTCCTTTAGCCACAAGCGAGAATGGCTGATGATGAGTAGTTTTTAATGGCGCAAGGGCCAATCGATGGCCAAAGAGCACCATTTCAATTGACTACAGATATGAACAATGATATGATGCGTGGCTGTAAAGGGGCCTTAAAATTCCTTGCTCAAACGCGGGTTAAAACATGGAAGTAATAAAATCATGACGATGACTTCGACAGATGACCTCGGTGCGACGGATGACCTCGAAATATCGGGTGAAAGCTTTGCACATCTTTTAAAAACGTGAAAAGTGTTTGCAGTTTAAAAAGCGGATCCCTACCAATGAGCATACCAGGGTGTAGAGGAAGCTGCTGTCGGTAGGGCAGTAAAAAGTGCTTTTTTCTTAGAGCATCTAGCTCATTGCACTGGACGAGAATGTGGAGAACCGTAAGGGGCTCTCCACATCTCTCACAATATGGTGGATCACCGGTAGACAAAAGAAATGAATGTGTAGAATGTGTATGTCCTGTTCTAAGCCTTGTTAGTATTACTTCTGTGTGTCGTGATTTTGATAGTGGCGGCCAATAACCTAGTTGCGGCTTAATAGCATGGAGTTTATTATCTGTGTGTTTATCCCACATGCTCTGCCAATACCCCCAGAGCTTTCGTTTTAGAAAAGGTTTTAAGTCAAGTGCAAGGACTGGTGTTGATGCATTGGCAGTAGTGTCATAAGCGCAAGCAGCCAGATTGTCGGCCAAAACGTTCCCTTGTATCTCACGGTGCCCTGGAACCCAGCAGACAACGACATGCTGTTTTGATGTGTACAGTGTGCACAGAAGTGAGTAAAGCGACACCAGCACGGGGTTCTTGTGTATTTTTAGGAGTTTTCAGGGCTTTGACCACGCTTAGGGAATCTGTGTATATTACCGCCTTTTGTAATTTCATCTGTTTAATGTGTTTTACGACCGCCAGTATTGCCTAAGCTTCTCCTGTGAAAATGCTTGCATCAGGATGAAGAAAGCCGGCCTCGGAAAAGGATTGGCCTACCGCTGCATATGACAAAGAAGTGTTTGACTTTGACGCATCGGTAAAGAACTCAGGGTATGTGTATTTATGTTGTAGTTCTAGGAAGTATGTATGTATGTGTGCAAGTGGTGCGTGCTTTGTGACTTCAACAAAAGAGACATCACAGTCTATAAGCTGCCACTGCCACGGTGGCAGATATGTTGCAGGAGCCATCAAACTGTGTTCAAGAAGAGGCAGACCTGTTTCTTCGGCCAGGCTCCTTACACGGAGCGCATAGGGCTGCCTAAACGAAGGACGGTTCTCAAACAAGCCAGAACAAGACAAATCATTAATTGTGAAATGGGAAGGGTGTTTCTTGTCTGCCTTCACCTTCAAAAAGTACAAAAAGGACAGGGAACATCTTTGTAGGTGGAGCGACCATTCATTCGAATCCACGTACAGGCTCTCCACAGGGCTGGTTCGGAAAGCACCCGTAGAGAGGCGAATGCCTAGATGGTGGACAGGGTCGAGAATTTTCAAGGCTGATGGCGTTGCCGACTGATAGATTATAGCACCATAATCTAGGCGTGTGCGTACGAGGCTTTCATATAAGTTCATTAAACATTTCCTGTCACTACCCCATGTAGTGCGTGACAACACTTTCAAAATGTTCATTGTTTTTAAGCACCTGTCCCTTAAATACTTGATGTGTGGGATGAAGGTTAACTTAGTGTATAATATGAGACCAAGAAATTTGTGCTCGGTCTTCACTGACAGAGGTTGACCATGCAGGTCAATGTTGGGGTCAAGATGGAGGCTCCTCTTTCGGCTGAACAAGACACAAGTGCTCTTTTGCGCGTTGAGTATAAAACCATTCTCGTTTGCCCATTGAGATACCTTGTTCAACCCTAGTTGAACTTGACGTTGGCACATTGAGATGCTGCACGATTTGTAACCAATTTGTACATCATCGGCATATATGCAGTAAAAAATATTTCGTGGGAGAGACAGGTGCAAGGAATTAATTTTAACTATGAAAAGTGTGCAGCTCAATACACCTCCTTGTGGCACTCCTGTTTCTTGGACAAATACTCGAGATAAGACAGTGCCAACTCGGACACGGAATGTACGGTTCGACAGGTAGCTTTCGATAACCGTCAGCATTCTACCCCGCACACCTAAATGTGACAGGTCTTGCAATATGCCGAAGCGCCACGTAGTGTCATATGCCTTTTCCATATCGAGGAACACAGAAAGAAAAAATTACTTATGAACAAAAGCGTCGCGATTTTGTGCCTCGATACGGACAAGGTGGTCAGTAGTGGACCGAGCCTCTCGAAACCCACACTGGTATGGGTCAAGTAGGCCACTAATTTCAAGGAAGTGCATCAGGCGCCTGTTAATCATTTTTTCAAAGACTTTGCAAATACAGCTGGTTAATGCTATTGACCCGTAGCTGGAAACTGAGGCCGGGTCCTTGCCTTATTTTAGAATTGGGATAATGATAGCTTCCTTCCAGGCTGAGGGTAGCCCGCCAGAAGACCATATCGCATTATACAGAGAGAGGAGAGCTTTCTGGGTTTCAGTGGGCAGGTGTTTTAACATTTCGTATGCCACACGGTCCGGGCCTGGGGTAGATTTATTGCAGCAGATAAGTGAGGCTTGTAGTTCCGCCAAACAGAAAAGTTCGTTGTATGCCTCATGTGTTGTGGGCTTGCGCTCTAATTTCTGTTTTTCTATTGCGGTTTTGTATCGTCGGAACGCTTCACTATAGTGTGTTGAGCTGGAGACCTGTTCAAAGTGCGCTCCGAGAGTGTTTGCCTGGTCTTCCAAACTCTCCCCTTGTGTGTTCACTAGAGGAAGCGAATGTGCTTTTCGTCCTGCCACCTTACCAACCATGCTCCAGACTCTCGACTCATCTGTGTATGAGTTAATGCCTGATAAAAATTTGTGCCAACTTTCCCTTCTTGCCTGTCGGCGCGTCCTCCTTGCTTGCGACTTGACGTTCTTAAAGTTTACAAGATTCTCGGCTGTGGGCGAGTCTCTAAGCAACTTCCATGCCTTATTTTGTTTTTTTCGAGCATCACGGCGCTCATTATTCCACCATGGGACTCGTCGTTTGCTTGACGGTCCACATGTTTAGGGAATACATTTTGTTGCTGCATCAACCAAGAAAGTTGTAAAGTAGCATACAGCATCCTCTATGCTCAATGCCGCCATGTCAGTCCAAGATAATACAGTCATTTTTTTAAACTTTTCCCAATCGGCTTTGTCGGTGAGCCATTTGGGAACTTGTGCAGGTCATGTATTTGTTACTGATGTGCTAATGACGATAGGAAAATGGTCACTACCATATGGACCATTAATGACTTCCCATTTAAGTAGAGGCAGGAGTGATGGGGATATTATGCTGAGGTCTATTGCTGAGTACGTATTGTTAGCAATGTTGTAATATGTTGGCTCTTTCCGATTCAGCAGGCACGCACCGCAAGAAAAAAGAAGCTGTTCAATCAGGCGACCTCAAGCATCGCAGCGAGAATCACCCCATAGATTGCTATGTGCATTGACATCTCCAAGGAGAATATAAGGTTCTGGAAGGTCCTTTATGAGGGACTCAAATTCATGCTTTTCAAGACGGTGTTGTGGAGGTATGTAGAGAGAGCAGATGGTGACGAGCTTATTCAAAAGAACTGCTCGAACAGCCACCGCCTCAAGGGATGTTTGTAGTGGTAGGTGTGTGCATGCAATCCCTTGATTGACTATAATGGCAACACTACCGGATGGCACAATGGCATCATTCCGGTCTTTCCGAAAGATAACGTAGTGACGTAAAAAGTTGGTGTGTTTAGGTTTCAGGTGTGTCTCTTGTACGCACAGCACCTTAGGTGTATGTTTGTGTAAAAGTTCCTGGATATCGTCGAGGTTTCTCAACAGTCCTCTGACGTTCCACTGTAGTATTTGTGTCATTTTAATGTAGTGTGGTGCTGTGTGTACAGAGGTGTTGCGTTAGTTTACAGGGCCTTTTGGGGGCCCTGTGATTCGAGGTTTTTCTTTTTTGGCACGCTCCAAGGAGTTGCGCCTATCCTATCCTTCGGCGTCTGAGGCACCAGAGGAAAGGGACTTGTATCCATCACCTCTTGTGAGGTGGTGGATGGTGCCTGCTGGGCAGGCACATTCACTGAACTTTCGAACCTAACTGCACCTGCAGTGGTCCGAGGTTCAGCAGACACTGGGGTCTGCCGGCCCTGTTTGTCAGGTGGCGGAGCAGTACAGGCTGCTCCAGCCGGGGGCGCTGGCGGCACGACCGCGGCCACACACTGTGTGACATTCGCGGGTGCCAAGACATGTGGCGCGGCGCCCCGACGCGTCACATCTGCAAAGGAGGGATAAGATAGGTTGTGTATTGCGAAACGTTGCCGTGCTTCTTGGAATGAGAGATTGAATTTAACCTTAAGTTCTACTATTTGTTTCTCTTTTTTCCATGCAGGGCATGATCGTGAGTAGGCAGCGTGATCTCCTTCACAGTTCAAACAATGAGTTGTTTCTGAGGTGCAGTTGTCCGATATGTGTTGAATGGATGCGCACTTTGCGCAAGTGGCACGCCCTCTGCAACTCTGCGATCCATGACCGAAACGTTGGCACTGAAACATCGACGAGGGTTGGGAATGTATGGTCTTACACGAAGCTTACAATAGCCGGTTTCTATTGATTCTGGTAGGTCACTTGTTCCGAATGTAATTATTACGTGTTTTGTAGGGGTTAGTTTGTTGTTGCGCCTTATTGTTATTCGTTGGACTTTGACCACGTTCTGGTCCTGCCAACCTTCGAGCAGCTCACTTTTAGAAAGCTCAGTAAGATCATCATCAAAAATTACGCCACGAACAGCGTTCATGGACCTGTGTGGGCCCACCGAAACAGGGGTTTCCCCAAAGGCTACAAGCTTAGACAGCTTTTCATACTGAGCTTTGTCACGAACCTCCAGAAGAAGATCGCCACTTCCCATCTTTGTCACTTTATAACCTGGGCCTATTGCTTCTGTGAGAGTTTTGGAAACGAAGAAAGGTGAAATGGCTCAGACTGTCTTCTTTTCGTTTTGACTGTGGATTACATGGTACTTTGGGAACGTCGGCTTTGGTGTGTTAAGCAGGAAAGTATCTTCGGTGCGCCACCTTTTTAGGGAGCGATCAGGAAGGGGGGAAAAGCTTTTGCCATAAAAATACTATAAAGTTCGGCGGCGATGGTGGCCACCCACCACCGAGCCCAACAAGGGGACACTACAAGGTTGACTAGTGAACACTTGGAGACGCCAGCCATGCATCGACGCTATAACCGAATATAACTACCCAAGGTTGGGTAGCTACACAGGGTTAACCCTCGCCGCCAGGAAATTCGGAAGTAAATGGAAGAGAGAAGATGACAGGACAAATAAAAAGTGAGAGATAAAGACGAAGGTGTAGGAAGAGAGAGATAGGAAAAGGCGACTGCCGATTTCCCCTGGGTGGGTCAGCCCAGGGCTGCCGTCTACGTGAAGCCGGGGCCAAAGGGGTGTGTTGCCTCTGCCGGGGGCCTTAAAGGTCCAATCACCCGGCATCGGCTCAACCTTCAGGATCCCCTTTTCCCCAGACACGGCAAAGCCACGCACGGCTAGGCGTGGGAGGGAGTCAAAACTCCCCATTAGCGAGAATGGCTACTGGATTGGCTTGTCTCAATCTCAAGGTGTTGCCATGGTTGCGAGACTACCTTTGGCATGAGCAAGTCTATGCTGTGTTAAAGAGTTTGTGCCATTTAACGGTAGGTGACCAATAAGCACTGTTTCGATTAACCGATGAATTTTACTGCGCAACACAAAAATCCAGCCATATGAGTCCGTTTAGCTCCATTAATGAGGCATTTTCATTTAAGCGAGTTTCATTTATTGTAAGTCCACTATACTTCAGCAACGTAAGCAGCAACTTGACCAAAAAAAAAAAGTCCTTTTGGTAAGTAAGTAAAAGTAGCAACAAACGGTGGCTTATGTTTATACTTTTGGTGTGTGTTGGTGTCTGAAATTTCCTATATTTTTTTATTAGTGTTTGCTATTCCATTCGATTTACACTGAAATTTTACCATTTGATGTATTCAAATCCCTCCAGAAATACAATTGACAATTATTTGACAGTGGCCCCTTCCCATTTTCAATATGCTTCAATCTGCCACACTCTCGTATGGCGGCAAAGCTGCCTGTATCGACTCAAGAAATGTATCGACTAAAAAAAAACACTGGTTCCAACATGATGATAAATGCGGCAGAGGTGGGGGCCCAACTAAAGCTCCTTTGGGCCTGAAATTTGAGCAGGAAGATCAGTGAATCAGGTGTCGGACATTTTTAGCATTCAGAATTTCAGATGTTCTTTGATACCGACGTCTAGGAATCAGATATGGGACTCCCCAACTCAAAAGGAGCACAATCTTGCCTTGTCTGCCACTTCATTAGGGCTTTCACAGAAGTTGAAAGACGAGGAGAGGCTGAGGTAATCGCATCACCTTTCATGTGTAGAGTGTTGTCGGCAACAGTTTGGTTGGACTAAATCACGTACATGAATACAACGCTGCCTCAGCATTGTCTCATTCTTCATAAGACAAGTATGAGGCACCAACACTACCAGCGCTCCATCAACCTAGTCGGAAAAAAAAAAACACTTTCGTTTTGCTATCTTATAAAAATATACTTAGAAATCCTCTCCAACATTTTTTTCTGCAATTTTGCTTCAAAGTATTAGGAAAAATATTCTAGAAATATTTGAGAAATACTAGAAAAATATATCTTATTAAATTCGCACTCACACTTCAATATTTGAATTCACTTCACACCAAAAATTTTACTACTTACACGGCTATAATTATTTTGCCAACCTATGCAAGCAAAGCCTGTTAGGCCTAGCTAGTTAGGCATAGCATGAACAATGAACTACTGATGAAAACATGCAAAAAGGCCAGCAAGACTAGCGTTGCGCTAAATTTTTAAAAACTCACCCCGCGTATGCAAACTACGACGGGAACAGCGCAGCAGCTTTTGTTGATGATGGTCACTTTATAGCTGCCACAGCTCTTCACACTGCTTTGTTCACCATCGAAGTGCAGGCCTTCGAAGTTGATGTCTTGGCTTGGCTCCAGGGTGACACATGGCTCCTCAACTCGAGCGGCCAGAGTGACACTGTGCAGAGCTTTGTGGCCACCTCTAGCCCCGAGGAAAATGCCAAGCACGGCTTCCACTAAACCAGGAGTCATGGAGAGGAAGGAACCCTGGGTAGTAAGACACAAGGGGCAGCGTCACCATTAATAACCACTACTGGCCGTTGCACAACGAAACCTCATTACAATGAAGTCACACTTGACATCAGATCAATTGGTGATAATCATATGTTTTTGTGAGCCACTAGCTACCACTGTATAAGTACAGTCGGATCTCGATAGTTTAAACTTGAAGGGGCCCGAAAATTTGTACAAATTCAAAGAAGTTTGAATTAATGAAAGCTAAATGAACGGAGGGCTCTCCATGCAGTGGCACATGTACATTGAGCTGACACACGAAGGGGAAGTTTCAGAAGACTTACATTTATTCACAAATCACAGGACATCCGTTAATAATTGAAGTAATCGGTGATGCGCGTCTGCACACGTTTGCTTTGCAGCAAGTCAATCAATTTCGCATGCAGCTTGCAAAGCATTTCTACTTCGGCTTCAGCATTCTTCTGGTAAGAGATGTTGCGCGCGGAAATGTCCAGCGCCGACACTTTCTAAAGACGACGAACACAACAGAGGCTCCGCTACGCAGCCGCAGCATGGCCAGTACGTGACTGGAATGCAGAAGCGTCTACACAGAGAGAAGCAGATCGGCATCTGAGAAAAACCAACAGTTCACGGCAGCTTTTTTTTTTTTTTTTGCTCTCCTCACGCGCATCTTCGAAAGGAGAAGGGTTACTTCGCAGATACGAGAAAGGGGGAAGCATGGCACCAGCGTATGAGACCCCCCCCCCCCCTTAAGGCGCAGAACCGTGCTCCCACAAGGAGCAAGGGCTGCAGAAGATGGTGCCTTTTTCCTTTCCTTCAACCACACATTCATTCAATCCAGCAACAGCTTTCTTTTTGTTTTTTTCCTCTCTCTCTGTACGCACAGCATTGGAAGGAGGAGGGTCTTTACGTGACAGGGACAAGAAAGGGAGAAGCGTGACACGGGTGCATCGCCGATAGGCATTTGAGAGAGAGCAAACATTCCACCGCAGCCTTTTCTTTTCTTTGCGCGCAGCGTTAAGGTGTCGCAGGTGCCGCCGCGAGATTGGGCTGAGAGCATTTTCAAAGCACGGTATGTTCAAATTAACCGTCGCAAGTGCTTGCGAATTACCGGGCGTTTTCACCCATTGGAATACACATACCTTTGACGGGATCTCACCGTGAGTTCGCATTAACCAGAAGTTTGAATTAGGCGAGTTCAAATTAATGAGATTCTACTGTAATGCCCCTGTAAAAATGTGCTCATTATCAATTTACTCACAGGCCACTGTACGTACATATACCAGCCTGTTAGAATATTGCTGTTTTTTTTTGTTTTTGTTTTTTTATTGAACAAGCACTAGCTAGTCTGAAAGTTGCTCACAGATATTCCGACTCCCTGTTTGCTGTTAGCAAAGTGCGAGCGGTTGGCCGATGCGTCACCGTAGAGAGCCCTCAAGACACAGCTGCTTGATCAAAATGCATGAGGTGCGGCCCCAGTGTTTTTCGCGACACCAGTGCGATAGCGCTTAGACAGAGTCTTTACGTATGACGATGGAAGCAGAATTAAGTTAAGCTCAATAAAAAATGCTTCAGTGTGACCGTTGTATGGCGCGCTCATGACCGCACGAATTGCTTTCTTCTGGATTGCGTGAAGATTCTTAATGTTAGTCAGTGGCGTCGTACCCCAGACTAAGTAGCACTACATAATATGCGATGCAAATAGGCTGTTATACGTAACAAGCTTAATATCTTTAGGCAAACAGTATCTGCATTTGTTGAGGATACCGCACACCCGCGAAATCTTACCAGCAAGACGTTTTTACAGAAGGCACAAATTCTATATGTGAATTTTGTTAGTACACGCAAATCTAAGCTTCTATTTTACGATTTTTGCGTCTAAACAAGTCAGCTTTTGTTTTAACAGCATTTATTTTAAAAGAATTGTCTGAGCTCCACGATAATAGTATCGATAATGTGCAATTGGCATCAATTATTGCATCAGTAGCATTTCGCGCGGTAAAGAGTATAGTAGTGTCATCTGCATATATTATGAATAACATGGAATTATCAATTCTAACTATGTCATTTATATATAGGCAGAACAAAAGGGAGCCTGAATGCTGCCCTGCGGAACACCGGCACCTAATGCCTTGAAATCTGAGGCGTGATGATTTATGCATACCTGTTTTTGGTGATGTTTTAGGTAAGAAGTGAGTAGTTCAAAAACCACCCCACAAAAACCATAATGACTTAGCTTTTTCAGCAAGGTTCAATGATAAATGTTATCGAATGCCTTTGAATATTCTACAAATATGCCTAATGTGCACATTTTGTGCTCGAAAGATTGTAATATAATTTCTTTTAGTGACAAAAGAGCATCCTCTGTAGAAAGTCATTTTCTGAACCCAAACTGTCTGTCTGTTATAATTTCATGTTTTTCAATAAAAGTAGTCACTTTACTATGTATCAGTTTCCCAAGCATTTGGAAAATACTGGAAGCAGGGATAATGGTCTACAATATGAAAGTTCAATAGCATCACCACCTTTGTGTAAAACAATCATCTTTGCCTTATGTGATTCCTCTGGGAAATTCTGTGTGAGAAAACAAGGTTAAAAACATGTTCTAATTTGGCGCAATCATGTTTAAAACTTGTTTCACCGGTCGAAACTGGAAGCCACTGGCACCACAAGACTTGCTGTTCTTTAGTGACAAACACAGATATGATTCCGTTTGCGCTTGCTCGAACCGAGAAAGCACTATCTTGAATTGGGGCACCTAGATACTGTAGACACTGTGGGCTATGGCTGTTAGCACTTGAGAGAGAGGTAAAATAATTATTAAATGTGTTTGCCAAGGACGCTCCAGAAATGGTTTGACCATTTGAAATGACTTCTAAAAGATCGGCATTTCCATTTTCTTTGCAGCTGAAAAATTCCTTCAGCCTTTTCAATGGAAGATCTGGCCTTCTTTCAGAGCGCAGAAGACTATTCCCTTTGTTTCTTTGTGCCTTAAAAAGTGTAAACACTTCTTCACTTCTATTATTTAACACATTATAAAGCTTATTCGTCGTGCGTATTTTGTAACCCATGGTTTTTTGCATTTATGGGAAGGTTTAAGTGTTTTAAAAAGAAATGACTTATCGTAGGCACCTTTGAATTTGTTTACGAACATTTCATAAGCTGTGCAAAGACATTTTGCACACATAACATCCGACCAATGGATCATAATTAGTTCGTTACAAAACGTACCGAGAGTATATGAGCTTACATCTTTGATAGTTCTTACATGTTGCATACTGAGTATAGAAACAGAACAACTGCTTGTCACGAAAAATATCGGCAAATGGTCACTAATTGGGGCAGTAATTACACCAGACACAAGATGGCTTTCTTCCAAGTTAGTAATGAATACATCAAGTAAAGTAGATGAGTCCCTATGAATACGTGTAGGAAGAGTTATAGTGTTTTGAAACCAGTTCATTTCCAAAATCCTGCAAAATTATTGTTGTTGCGCTGAAACTCTGCCTAAATCTACATTTAAGTCGCCTGCTAAAATGAGCTTGCATTTACTGTTATTAATCCATTCCAGGAAGTTACCAAGGAATAAGAAGAAATTAAGCATCTTTCCCCTTGGTGGTCAGTATAAGACAGAGAACACAAAAGTCAAGAAACAGACGCTCACGATTTCATAATCACATGTCACACATGAGTAAGGAGCAACTAGGCGACAGTCAATCTCATTTTTAACCATCAGCATGATGCCTCCTCCTATTTTTGATAGTCGGTTCATAAAGAAGCCTATGTAGCCAGGGCCCTTAAGAACATCACTGCTGTCTTTGTACCACGTTTCTGTGACCATGAATACATCTCGCCCAAAACGAAGCGTGGCAAAAAGGGCAAGGATATCCTCTTCTTTATTCCTTGCTGATTGAGCGTTTACATGAATAAATGACAAGCTCTTGTCATACTTCATGTGCAAAAAACCCACATCACAAGCAGCGAAATAATCAGCACCCATCTTGATTGAACAAGGTTAGCTACTAAATTCATTGGGTAGTGCATAGTTTATTTTATCAAGGTCACGCGCATTGCTGGCGACGATGTAGATTTCCTTGCTAATATTTTGCCACCCTTTGTCCAAGCGAAACGCCATCCCTTCTCATTTTTTTGTGAAATAGTCAGGCCCAAAGGCTCTTTCAGGTCGGAGCACAAGTGCTTGCAAACACTGGGGTCTGCTGTGTAAAACCGATGTCTGCCGTAGAAAATCATGTTTTTTTAGCTTTTTGAAGCACAGTATCACGCACGCTTGGACCTCATGTTAAACTGAACAATTATATTCTATAGCTCAACATGCCTAGCGGCACCCTGTGGCAGACTTCGATGTCAGTCTTAAAAATTGATTCATTGATGACTTTGCCAATGTTTTCCACGATGCTGGGCCGCTTTTAACTCCTTCCAAGGATTCATAAGGTTTCCATAAACAAACTACTTACCCTGGAAATCCCATGCAGAATTACAGTGTCCAACAATACACCTATTGGGTCACGATTGAAATTTACAAGCCGTCATCTATCTAACATACCATCCACCCTACAGCTGTTTGTTCAGGATAAGCAGCACTTTCTTAAATCAATATTACCAGTATTGAGGTATTGTTTCTTAGTGCCTGTTTGAATATCTGCGACTCGCGTGTAAGCTACAGCGACCCAAGAACACCACTGTGAGTCGTGCAATTGTTGAATTAAACTAACAGATCGTAAATAATGAAGCAGTTCCATGGGACCATTGCACATCTACGTTCAAACATTGGTGACTTTGTGTCAGCACAGCAAAAAATGATTTTTTTTTTTTTTCAGTCATAAATAGAGATCGTGCACTTATTTGCTCGAAATTATTTGCATTTGCATAAAAACTTATTGTGCCTATACAGTAGACTCTCAGTAAACGGAACCTGTAGGGACCGGAAAAATATGTTTTATTTGGCGGAAGTTCCGTTTACTGAGAGGTGAACATGGGTGCAGAATACAAGCCCGAAACCAAGCATTGCAAAGGCAATAGTTCTGTTGAAGCAGCAGATTCATTTAACAGATTTCCGTTTACTGGGAGTCTACTGTATTTTTGATTTTGAGCACCTAAAACATTGTTTTACCTGCCTGTCTTTAGTGCCTGAAACACACTTTTTAGTGCCTATAAATCCAGCCTCCGGTTATATATTTGCCTCTGTTTATTATTACCTCGATTTGTATTACACAGTACTGTGTACTAACAAGAAGGACTTTAAACCATCTGTTGTAAATGCACTACGACTCTTATATGCAGCAAATTCAGTTGGCTTATATTACTCCCATAGCGAAACCTAGCAATGGTGGGAGTAAACTTCAAAAATGTTTTTCTACACTAAAATGAAAAATGACTATGATTCAACTTTCTGTGAACAAATTCCCTGCGATTCTCAAACGTATGTGCTTTCCTTCCGACTTTTTTTTGCTTGCACCATCTTAGGGTGCTTACAGACGTCTCAACTTAGACCATTGGTGTTTTTGTCAAGTTCAGGATTTTATTTTAGAGCCTATGTGCCACACACAGACAAAACAGAAATTTTTGTAAATAGTATGTTTTATGAAAAGTTTGATAGAAATAATTTATGCATTCTATCGATGGCCGCATTTTGTGTAAAAATTGTCAAAAACGCTCAAATTTACTCAGTTTTGTCGAGGCTATAAAGAGTGAAAATTTTGAACCCATCATGAGGAACTGTCTTACAATAAACGCACATTGCTCTAAAGACACAAAAAAAGCCAGTAAATAATCAATGCACGAAATGGTCAAACTACAGAATTATAGGAAATTTTTTTGCATCTGGTTTTATATCCTTTCATTAATTTTGAAGAGTCCTCATGTGCACAAAAAATTTTCCCACTAAAAATATTTTGGGAAAGCACTTTAGAACTAATGTCTATATGAGTTTAATTTTCTGAGACAATTTTCTAGAAATTAATTTTTGGCAAGTTGGCATAGAAAGACCCTAGTACATCTCTTTTATTTGCAGAATTGTGTAACTGTATGCTTGGTGGTTTCAATTTTTGTTTTATTTTGAAACCCTAATTTTCTGCAAATTTTGTAAAAAACAAGAATGAAGTTTCTCTATAGTGCTGTTTTTCATTATTGCTGCAATATTTTAACATCCCTTCTCTGAACTGCAAGATATTTAATCCAGACCACTCCGGCAAAGCCCTTTTGTGTGCCTGACATGTTTACGAATAGGAGGAACTGAGTTTTTGCCAAGATTCTTTTTCAGACTATAGTAGCCCGCAACCCATCCTTCAGTTGTTTTCAAGTCTATGTCAGACAATAATGATTTTTACAGCTTATCAGACAATATTTTACCATCCACCAAATGCTTCAAGCCATTGCACGTGTACTTGCAAGTGCAGAACATATAATTGGCTTGCCTACGCGACAGCCGCTAAGCAAACACAGATTTGCTGATGGTCATATTAGTGAACTATTTTATAAAAGACATGCACTGGGCAGCAATTCTTGTCCTTTATATGAGGTGTCCCAATAAGTAAGGAACCGTGTGTGTGTTTTCTGACCTAACCCCATTTCGACAAAGGCACACTCATGTCTCTTATATAAAAGTTTAGCTGTATTTTATAGAAAGAATTTTCAGTTCGAAGCTGTCCCAGATATTTTAAAATGCTGCTGCACCAGTTCAAACAGATTTTTTGTTTTCTGTGATGTTCTTTCAATTCAAAGCATTAACTACGACACTTAGATATTCAATGACAACAACAAACCCCAAATCCACATCAGCCACAGCGTGGCTCGCAGAAAATCTTACCTCAATTTCCATAAAACCTCCACTGGCCAAAGTGTGCAGGCCTGGAAATTGAACGTTCACCATCTCTGCATTCTTAGGTGTGCGACCATCGACACTTGAGCGAAGCTGCCGAATTTGGTAGCCGCGGCTTTCTCCCGTTGGGTTTACCAAAGCAAGCGCAATGTTCTGTGGTGCTCCAGCGCAAAGCGTGCCAAGCTCAGCTCTTGAATGGTGAACAAAGCCCTTTGGAAAAACCAAGCCTGCATAAGAGATGCCCAAGAGTTATGACAAAAATACACGCAAATCGAAATCTGAGTACGTTGCTTTCTTTCTCTCTTTTTTCCTGGAATTGTCTAGAACAGGGGTCGGCAATTTTTCGAGGTAGACGGTCGAGTTCCTTAAACCAACAAGACAAGGGCCGCACGGGAAAATGGGGGGTGTAGGGTGAAAACTTAGCAGGCAGAGAGATAATATTCAGCAAATTGAGAAAAATGTACAAAATTCTAGAATAGAAATATAGAAAGTTTTTTCTTTTTTTTTTCAGCACGCTTGTCCCAATTTTGCAATTTACAAACATAGTATGTTACCAGCAAAAGCCCACTTGAGATAAAAACAGCCATGTTGCTTTTTAGATAAGTGATAAGGAGAGGGGGGAGAGCGACGTGGTGGGGGCCACATTGAACAGCCCCGTGGGCCGCAGGTTGCCCACCCCAGGTGTAGAACCTATGCTCAGCCAACAGCTGAAGAAACCACTACTGATATGCACAGCTTCAGCCCTATACAGACACATGCAAGCCATATAAAAATGCTACGAACCATCTGCATTATACTGTTTCCAGAGTGCGTTACAGAATACATGTTTTCAAAGATGGGAAACTTGCACATTTCATTGGTTATCTGTTAACCACATCCACCGTGGCAGAGTTAAAAATATGACCCATACCCAACGGTGCAGGACTTGAGTGCTGGTTCGAAAGCAGCGGGCTATGAGATGAACCATGGAGGCCACTGGCTGCGCCAAAAAACTGGCTGGATTGATTCTCGGTGGAGTTTCCGGTACCACCGCACACTTCTCTGGTCGAGAATAGGTCCTTTTTCACTTCATAGTTTCTTTCGAAAGCAAGGTTTTCGTCGCTTCTACACATGCTCTTTGCTGCCAGGCATTGCTTGTCTCCGTCCCCACTTTTTAGCGTTCTTAGATCAGGACTACTGATTGCTGACAGCTTCTGAGGCGCACCTGGCAACTTGAATTCGGTATTGCCACTACACTGAGAGCGCTGGACAGCCCCGCTCACACTATGAGGGCCACGACTGATCTTAGAAACAATGGGAGACACTTTACGGTGAACCGTCGACGGGGACTTGAGTGAGGAAACGTTCTGGTTTACGGAGCTGCCAAGATGTGGCACATTGCTGCGGACCGGAAGCTGTGACCTGTCTTTTTTGCGAGATGCCAACACGTGTGGGGCAATTTGTGACGCCATCGATGAACACGTGGAGCCCAGGCTGGAGGATTGGGAGTTCGGTGTAGAAGGCAAAGTGGATCCAGTGGATAATTGAGCTGCTCGTGTACGAGGAGCGGGATCGAAGGGGCGCTTGAACTGACCATCCTTGTGAGAAATTTGAGAGTCCTGCTTGGAGGAACCCGCGTGACTGATACGAGTGGCGCCGGCCTGTCGGTTGGCTGGCCCCTTTGACCTGCTCGCGGATGCGCCCTCAGGGAATAGTCTATGCCCGACTCAGATTGCACCGATGTTAGGCTGCTCTCCCATGACTCATCTGGAAAGTAAAGTCACAAGAAATGCATAAGCACACCACTCTGCTAGTTCAGTGGTACACTTATTCTTATGTAAGACACTTTCTGTACAATAAATTTGTGCTGCTATCGAACATACCAAGTAACAGAGCTACATCGAGCTGCATTACACATACAAACAAGTTTTTTCATATTTGTTGCCAATGCAATTGGTCCCAAATACAAACAGTGACAAAAGTTTCTAGCCTTAGAAAAATTATGTGTTGCAATTTTCTAGCCTTAGGAAAATTGCATGTTGCAATTTTCTTAAGGCTAGAAACTGGGGCATAGTGACCACATATGTGCAATACATACATTGCAACCACTGACAAAGGACAGATTGAAAACAAAAATTAGAGAATAAGATTTGTGCAATAGACATCTTATGTCTGTGTCGCAAAGGCCCTTTTGAAAGGCCATCTAGTCGGTGGCTGTCAAAACGGCACAACTCCATCGTCTCGGAGCTGTCGCGCTGCTACACGGCACTGTCAAACGGCCGTTGAGTAGTTGAGGTATTTCTCGCAAAAATTATGTACCGCTGCAGATTTTTATTTTCATATCTATACAATATATAATGAAATTATATAAGTTCACTTAAAAACTCAAATATGTCTATTGATATTTAAATATTTTAACACATTCTTTATCTGTAGTTATGAAGCTATATTTAGCTGTTAAGTCGTTGAGCAGCGATACTGTGGCAAGTAATACACAGCCAGATAGCACACTGAAAAGAAGCATATGATTGTTGTAGAGAGTAATTGCAGTTCACACTCTTCAAGTGGCAAAAATACTCTATTAAATCATTCACACCACTCACATATACTGCTTTGAAAGAACACTGGCTAGATCCTTTTTTTTTTTTCTGTCATTGTGCGTACGAGCACACTGAACAAGAAGGCACGTTTGCGTGTTGCCACTTTCGTCACTCGATGGCCACTGAAGTTTCAACGGAGTATTGGGGTGCTTGGACTATTGACTCAATCGCCTTTGAAAGGCCCCGTGTGGTAGCTCATACTTGACAGACGAGTCAATAACCCACCAGCTTGATGGCCTTCCAAATGCCCGTGTGACACGGGTATTACTTGGGTGATAAGGTCAAGCAAGAAAGAAGAAGAAGAAGAAGGTGTTTAATGAGGAGGAGGAAAAGTCGGTCTGGAAAGCGGGTTTCTAGCCTGGTAATGCCCACATGGGTAAGAGGAAGAGAGAAAGAAAGAGGGGGGTATGATGAGGGGTGATTGGGATATAGCCCATGAGTCACTGCACACAAAGTCTCGTTCGGTATAGGACATTCACAAAAGTCTCTACATTAGCAGATGCTCTAAAGACGGGAATCTACACCTGTCTTGCTTAGAAATGCGAGCAGGCCCTTTAAAGGGGTCATGACACCCAATTATCGACCATAATCTGTGTTGTGTGGGCTGGTCCTTGTGGGTTCACAAACAAGCTAGCGAAATTTCAGCGCATCCGTTTGTGCCATTAATTTATAATCGAATATTTTTATAAACGAGCGAGCAGCCTAGCGGTCTGGCAACACCAATGCTCTCACTAGCCGTGATGTAACAAACCGCTTGCTCCGCGAGCTTCTGCATGGTGTGCAGTACGGTGGACGATCATGTTTCATGGTCAGCTGCGCTTGCAATCGAGTTGTTTCAGCATTGTTCAATGTCCAACTAGAACTGAAAGGCCCCGCCGCGGTGGTCTAGTGGCTAAGGTACTCAGCTACTGACCCGCAGGTCGCAGGTTCGAATCCCGGCTGCGGCGGCTGCATTTCCGATGGAGGCGGAAATGTTGTAGGCCCGTGTGCTCAGATTTTGGTGGACGTTAAAGAACCCCGGGTGGTCGAAATTTCCGGAGCCCTCCACTACGGCGTCTCTCATAATCATATGGTGGTTTTGGGACGTTTAACTCCACAAATCAATCAATGACTTGAAGCAGTTGAAGCAATGCCACCATGTCGCCCATGCTGCGCTGTGGGGTGCCAGAGCGTACAGAGCAGCGAGAGTACTGCGTCGTTCTTCAAGTTCCCTAAAGAGCTCACCAAACGCTAGGCTTGTGAGATGAACACACACAGGAAGGACCGGTGCGCAAGTGATGAGCCTGTTATGTGCTTGGCGCACTTCAAGGCAGACAGCTACAATGATGACCAGAGTCTTCTCGGCGAATTCGGTATACCAGTAAAAAAGCCGAGGCTGCGACAGGACACTATGCCGACCGTGTTTTCCCACCGTTACGTCCTCCAAGCTAAGCCTCGAGGTGCTTACGAAAAGCGTCAAAGGAAAAGAAAGAGGCAAGTGCATTTGCCACAATAGTGTAGGCATATGCGTTCGCCCCATCTTCGACGCTTTCTTCGACGCTTTCTTCAACGCTCATGCTGGTGGCAATGGGGTCTAAACCAAACTCGCAGCGAACACAACGTCGTCACTGCTTGTGCTGCTCGATGAATCGTTGCCCGAATCGTGAGTTGATGATGATGCCGATGACATGGCGATGGTACAACTACTATTTCGCAACACTTGTTGGCCACGCAGCAAGTAACGCTCACAACACAGTGAACACATTAACCGCATGCCGAAGGTGCCGTAGACGACAGCACTGCTTTTATCGGTTTGTGACATCATGCACGCCAAGGCAAAATGGCGGTCGCCAGCGGAAGGCGGAGTTTACAGCCGAAGACTTTTACGGCCAATTTCGAACTGAAATAATCTCTCACAGTCTAGTTTTCACACGTGTGCAAGCATACTTGGCTCTCTACCTTCGTTTTTTGCCAAAAACCGCGAAATTGTTAGGTGACCATGTCATGACCCCTTTAAGCTGCGTTGAATGTGATCCACATTTCCCAAGCACCCGAAAGTTCTTTTTGACAGCTACCCTACTGCAAAAGAGTTATCGAGCAAGCATTAAGTTTGCAACAATAAGTCAGTTCTTTAAAACTTGAGAACATGAATAATAAAATTGACAATTAATGGGATATAATTACCGCCACACTGCTCCCTGTAGGTAGACTTTCTCATTCCAAGCTGTTGTTCGACAAGTTCACGAATAGTTCGCTTGTTTGGTGCTGGTGCAGACTCCTTTTTGGTTTCTTGAGCAAGTGGAGGTGCTTTTGAGAATAGCTGTGCCATCCACCACCACAAAAAAAGAAAAGAAAGGAAAGGGCTATCTTCACAACCAAGCTCTCCCACCCTATGCGCTAAACAACCACAGTGGGTCCCATTTCATTTAATTGCAGATCACTACCAGTCAGGCATCGTTGCAAAGTTATGTAGTAACTGACAGTTATTAATGTGTGTTCAAAGCCACACTTTGCATTGAGAGTGAGATACACAAAAAATAAATCTGCAACTGTTGCGTTTAAAATATGGACGTTAGCATAAAATTCATGCCAGCACTATTATGCAAGTCTCAAACCAAATCAAGCAGCGCTAGTGAGGCCTGTAAATGTAAGCACAGCTGGGAGGGATGAGGATGTTTCCCACATGAGTTCGGGAAGGACTAGCACCCCCTTCTTCCCCCCCTGTGGTTATGTGATCAACTGAAGCCACTTTGGCACAGCTTTTGGAGCAGCTAGAACATCACTTTGGAGCACAACAACCTTTTGGAGCAATTATCAAGCGCATATTTCTGAATACAAATACTTATCCCTAGGCTAGAGCAGCTGCACTGCATCTTTAACAAAACTGATTTACTACATATTGATACACGAATACTGTCTAGGAATACTCCAAATAGAAAAAACAAATAAATTATCTCTCTTTCTCTCTCTCCTTTTTTTTTTTTGGTGACAGTCCTAAGTTTCTTTGGTGCGGACTCAGGCCACCTAACATTTTTCCAGAATCCATTTCATATCTGTAAATGAATAGGGCTTTCTCCGATGCTTCAGTTGCAGTACTGGAAGTGCAAACACTGTACATTTTCCATGCATTTTTTATTATCTAGAACTCTTATGATGTTTGTGCTTTTAGAACAACTACGGCCTTAGCTGCGGGATGGCCATATAATAAATGCTTTGTCTAAAACTAAACCAGACTTTTGTACCTCTAGTGGTCTTTTTCTCGGTATATTATTCTGTTCATAACTATCTACCTGATCTTTGGTCACTTCTGCAGGAACATATACAAATATTTTGTTTGGCATTATCTTCTATTTTTCATGCATTGTATACTAGCCTGCTAAAACTGTGGCAATGATGGTTGCAGTCCCAATAAGTGAAATAATGAAGTGTTTGCTGGGGGTACTTTACGGAGAAAATTGCTAGAATTCCTGTTCATGAGTGAATTACTGAATTGAAGGTTCAATAATTAGTCCTCTACATCCAATTTATATTTATATTCCATGAAAATTGCCGTAATGGGAGGCTTCATATTTAATAATTTTCGACAAGTTCTAAAACATGAACTGTTGATGCGATTAACAGAAAGAAGCAAGATGCCGGGTGTACTGGGTGACCATGCTTTCCGAGTCAAATGCCATTGCCCACACTGCAGCATGTGAAATTCTTGTTACATTCTGGTGAATGTATTAAATAATGCATGAAAAAAGTCTGTATGAACATTTAAGCAATCGCATTACAGCAACTGGAGCTATTTTTTTAATGTTATAACGAAATTGTCTATTCAACCATATACCCATACTGCTTACAGTAGCTCATAGAATCAATCTAACAGCTTGGCCTGTAATTTGGTTCACATAAATTGGAAGCTTTTCCACAGAGCTTAACAATCTAATCTCGCTGTATAGCTTAGCAGTTTTAGAAAATGCCATGCTGAATGGGCCAACCCGAATAGTTTGGGAGGGTTGCACCTAACAACTACTTCAACCACATAGCACTCACTAGTATGCCCAAATGACCTTTATAAATTACAGTGCAACTTAAATACAGTTTGCAAGCACATTCAGTCTTCCTTTTCTCTGAAAAACAGCAAAAATGTCATCTTGGCACATGCTAGGCACAAATTATGACATTTTCGCAGAAATATAGCCGGATGTGGCAGGTTTCATCTCTAGGCGCAACTGGCACAGATACTAATCACATCAATGCCCCTGCCACCCAGTAACCGACGACTCTAGTTCAGTACCGCGACAGGCACAACTGCATACACAATGCTGAAAAAGAACACTACACTGTAAGGTAAACAGGAGTATTAGGGACATCTTTCCACCACAGAATCGTCATCTCGCAATCATTGATAATAGTGCCCCACTCCTCTTTCAAGTTTTTTCATCACCCTATTACATGTGCAAGCAAGCGCTGACTTGTGCAGCCAATTGACACTAAAGAACAATTGAGATAACTGTAGGACCTTCTGATGTGATTACGTGCACAACGGGAACATTTCAGATTCTTCCGGGGCTTGCGTGGCTACTAGCGATAGCGCTGGAATATTCGAGGGCACATGTAGGAATGCCGACACGCGTCATCGCTTGTCAGTTGATCGACAGCCAACGCTCAGTTCGCCGCTATCAGTGCCAGTGTGTACTGCTGTAATCCGATTCTCTGTTTACCGGCCAACGTCATGACTATGTGACAATAGCAATCTGGATTGCTTACGTTTCTCTTTTTAAAAATTGTGTGCTTACATCTTTCCTATCAGTATTGCTATGTCACGCCAATAGCCACATGCCGTTCATGACCGGGAAATGCCGGGCATGCTGCATAACACTAGGAAAGCTTGCACGCAGGTAATTATTGCTGTGCAGCAGAAAGACGTCCCAAATAAGCCTTTTCTGTCTTACAGTGTATAAGTACTTATAATAAAGGAGGAGGAAGAAATGCTGTCACTTTGTGACAATATGTACGGACGTGGCTTGCATGTAAAGGGCTAAGCAATACTAATAAGACAGTGGTAACAAAGTTGATGTAGCACAACCGTACTACAATTTTTGAAATTTTTGTGATTTGGGAAATTTTATAAATTTGAATACTTCCCCTGGCCCTGGTGAATTATAATTATTGTCTTATTACTTTCAGTAGATGCTGCATTTCCCAAATATACAATAAAAAGAGCAAATGCTTCACAGAAATTAAGCAGCAGAGTTCTAACAACTGCATTAACAATCATAATTGCATGAAAATGAATAGAGCCACAAACACACTGGACCACCTACATTCAAAACTTTGTGGCTGCTATCCACAATTACATTGCCAGCGGCAACAAGCTCTTCTGCAACAAGCCCATCGAGTGGTGCCTTCGTATCAATCCAGAGCCGCTATACTGGTAACAAATACGACGGGCGCCATTAAAAGGGTCATAAAAAGAAATGAAGCCGCCCAATTTTAAGTTACCCTGCTTCAATAAGGATTAGACATGCAGATTCCCAAATATTTTGGCTTATAATTATTGACATTCGTTTCAAACCACAGTTTTCTTGGGCACCTAGGCGACCATGCACCACCACGAGATGCCACAGGGTCTCGTAGTAGCGCGCACACGCACGCACACACACACTAACTATACTAACAAGCTTTTGTTTGCATACTTTTCACAATAGTGCCTCAGTATATTGCACAAACATTTGCTAAAGCCAATTTAAGTTTTCGCACACAAGTGAATGGCAAAATATATAGTACTAGTTTGTTTTGATACCCTTCTTTAAAAATTACAGGTAAATAACATGTAAAATAACATGTAACATGGAAAAGTGGGCAAAAGAATGAACCTCTCCCATTTACTATAGCTCAATATTTTTGGTACTTACCTCTACAGGATCCATTGGTGCTGACCGACTTTGCAGGTACGCACTAATCGTGATGCGGTCATCTTCACCGCTGGACATCCACGAAGGCCGGCTAATTTCGCCAAGCTGTTCATTTTCGCAGGATGGATGTTCTTCATAGGCCTGAAGATTGGTTAGACGGTCACGATACCCACCAAGAAGCCCATGAACCATTACAATGCCATGTGAGATGTGCTTCTTAATTAACTTAATACCTTGAGAGTACACATGTGCAAATATTTGAGCCCTTCAAATATTAGAATGAATACAGTATTGGAATTCACTTCAACACGAACTTATATTTGCCGAAATTTAAACCGATTTCAAATGAATACATAAACATAAACCTCATATAAGCCCCTGTGAAGGTGGTTTCACTGCAGTAAAAGGGTGCTATACTGTGAATACAGCTGTACAAAAAAAAATCCATGCTGCCTGAAAGCCCGATTACCCTCTGATTGATTCCTAATTTTTATGAATACCATCATACCGACTTATACACCCAAAGTATAGCGAATATTAAAATGCAACATACTATTTTTCACAGGTTGTAACTTGCGTTCAAACAAAAGTCAAATCCTGATACTATTCGAAATTGCTTCCATTTCCCTTTGAACCTAAAAGAATGACATGCATTGACATCTTTCTTCATAGTATGTGATATATATATACTACAGTTAAACTTGCTTATAACAAGCCTCCATATAATGAATTCTTCGATATAACGAAGTTTTACTATTCCCCGCTGTCACTTCATAGAAGCACATGTATCTGCGACCTCTATGTAACATAGTAATGCTGAGAGGCAGCCTTGATGTAACGATTTTTCTACACAGACAATCTAGAAATTTCGCCCCGGATTTTGTTGATTTCAGCACATCCGCGGTTGCCCCACCGCCGACAAAGCGCGAAGCGGCGGCAGCGCACTAGTGGCCCCCGCGACTCCCAGGCAAGAGCGAGCGCTCATTATTGCGCACGGGTGTGCCAAGGGCAGGCAGGCGGGCCAGCACCCCCATCACCTGGTGTTTCCATTGATCTTGCCGCCGCAGGTGCACACGCTGATGAGCCCTCCCCCTCCAAACAAACAAACAATAAACCAACTTTTGCGTTGGCAGTGCCAAGTTTTTAGTTAGCGTCACAAATGTGGGGCCGCACTAGATATGGAATGGCTTTACCAAATAGTTTTCCCCGGTATCCATGTCGTTCGCTCAGTTTTCGGTGCCGTGCCCATTTTTTTTTTATGCGGACAACCATGTCGTCCTTACCGAGGGGATGTCAAATTAGACATTGATGGAAACTCTCCAAAACCATGATGACAATGGTGGATCTTCAGAGGTAGACTCATCCCGAATTTCTGTTTGCGCCATGATTTTGAGGAGTTGTAGCCTTCACGATTAGCTCTGGCAACAATACGACAGCACGTTGCATGCAATGCAATAAATGCAAGAGCAAGGAATTGTAATGTTGAATGAAGTAAGGCCCGCGGCCAACTCTTTTGGATCTGATATCGCAGAACTTCTACAAAACGCTGGTGTAAGCAAATACGGCTGCTCCAGGAAAAAGTGTTCTTTTCACACAGTCTCTTCGCCTAGAAAGCGCACCGATGCTTGCCGAGTTGTCACCTGCGTCAGCTATAGCGACCACACCCTTGAAACTAAAGTTCACCATTGCTACTCGAGCGACTCCCCCCAGAATTTTTTCATGCTCGTTCAGTACGGGTAGTTTCCTTTCTGTTTGAGCATTCGACGGCAGTTCTAACACGTGGGGGGATATTGAATGCATGCACCCTCCAGGCGAGCGAAATGGGCCGGCTCATTTGATCTATGCTTCAGCGCCGCTAGCGCGCTTGTACCCGCTCATAAAAGTTACGATGTGGGGGCATATTCTCAATTTGAACTCCTTCCGAAACAAGGCGGCGGCGACAGAAACTTGCCGAGAGTGTGCACGTAATTTCTATGGCAATAATTATGCAGTCGTTTACCACAAAATGCTTTGGGTTAGCTCTGCCTTCAGTTCCCCTTTCGTTAAATTTGTTCATTTATTTTCCGAATCTTGGTACCAAACCTACATACAACGGAATCCTTTTTATAACAATTTTTTCAGGAATTTGCAAATTTCGTTATACCCAGGTTTAACTGCATTCGAATTCGACTTGGGACTATTCAATCAAATCACTATTCGATTCAAATGTAAAATTTACCATTCGCACAAACCTACGTAAAAATTTCATAAACACTTTTCATCATGCACGTGGGCACATTTAGAATAAACAACATGCCGTTACAATACTCACATCCAGAAGATGCTCCCTGTTGAACTGCTGCTCGTCATGTTCAATTATCTCTGCAACAGCATCTACAAGTACGAGTTCGAGAAGAACCAAAGCACTGTATGTACAAACTTGTCACAAGCTATCTCAGCCAACACAAACACTTTGATACAAGTAAAGTGCACATTGAGGCTTTTATCAAGCAGAAATCATCCTTTGTTTACACAATTTTCAAAAAGAGTACAAAAAAATTTAGAACCTATTGCACTCTGTGAAGGTAGACGACCAGCAAAGCTGTTTAGCACGTGACACAGAGGTTACACAGAATAGTCAACAAAGTTACGTCAGTAAAAGATAAACTAGATCAGTAAAAGATAAGATCAGTAAAAGATAAAACTAACAAACACCGGCAGTTCTCATTAATGAGGTGAAACATCTACAAGTCTAAACAGTCTCTCGAGTTCTTGAGTTGGAGTCCAGACGCGCAAGGAGATAGATACGGGTCACCAGCAGTTCACGCCCTTCAACAGTCCAGCGGTGAAGCTGCCATGGTGGGAGTGCATAAGCTCGAGCCCGTAGCCCAACCACTCGCTCCCGCTCCCGGTAGACGACGTAATCTGTGGCGCTGTCTTCAGCTCGAACACCAGAACCAGGCTGTGCCAGGAACTAGCCACTAGCCAATAGCCTCAGTGGTGGTTGAATGGTCACCAGGACCCCGTGATTGCCGTCGCTGGCTAGGTGGATGCCTTGACAACTCGGTACCTGCACTCGATGAGCTCGCACGCCGCACCCTAGCCGCGTTCTTCCAAGCCCCAGCATGATTGTTCCTTTTCCTCCTTCTTCGATGCAGTCGCTCCGGATCTTTCTGCGATTTTCTTGTGTTTTTCTTGTTTTTCAATTGCCGCACTGGCGCAGGTAACACATTTTCAGTAGTCCATCTTGCCGCACAAAATTAGAAAATCCCCTCACTAGCACACTTCACTCACAATAAGAGTCCCCCAAATGAAACGCTCACCTCTTTTTTTCTCCAGAGAATAACATTCACAGCTAGCCCGACTGGCTTTATTTACAGAACCTGTCACAATCATTCACTGTGCGAAATTCTTATCGTAGATGAATTACAAAAAAATAAAACGAAACTTTCTGGCGAGCACTATGCTGAGGTTAACAAATCTTCGTGAAAATTAAAATGAAGTTCTCGCGGGTGTTCTTCGTAACCCACTGAAAATTTATGCAATTTTAAACCAATAACATCATTATATATGTAAACTCTGGCACAGTTACCTCGCTGCATCCTATGCCTACAACGTATTTCTATACTCGCAATGCTCACTTAGACCCGATATGCAAACTTCTAGTGCGCATAGTCAGTTCATAAAGATCAAGCCGCAAAGGTACAAAGTATATGTGAAACGAGAATTCCTGCTGTTTACTTTAAGACAAGTAAAGTCTCGGATAATACGGGTTATACTTTTATTCAGTTTGCGCATTCGCCATGGCAAAGCGTATATGCAGCTTCGGCAATGCTAAACACCTTATAACTCATGTGTAGTCGTATCTTTAAGCCCAGAGATCATGCACTTTTTTTTCTGCACACAGCGCAAACACTGAGATGTACCCTACCACAGATGATCGCGTCAAATGCATTTTTACCTTGACTGAAATGTCGAATCATGAAGTTCTATCGGCAACCTGTTACTGCCACCAACCCACAATAAGTGGTAATGTTTTTTCAAACAAAGCGCATCGATATTCATGGTGGCTTTCGACTTGAACGTCTTAGGAGCAATCAAAGATTTACAAAAGGCGGTAGCACGGCAGGCGGAATGCTTTGACCTCGTAGGATGTAAAGTTGCCATGATCAAAAGCAAACTCGCTCCAGGCGGGAACTATTTTGTCCCGGTGATGCCTGTTTCACTTTTTCCCTCTGCGTGCCCCGGTACGCCAATGGATCAGGCTCCCGTCGATATGGGCGTGCCGTTAAGTCGGCAAACCAGTAGCAGCAGCCATGGCTCCCAACGCAACTGAGTTCGTCGTTTGGCAGCGGAACTGCGCGTGGTTCAGGAAGCGTAAGGCCTCCCTCCAGCATTACATTGCTTCATTGGCAGTTCAGCCACATGTGATTGCTTTACAAGAAACCATTGACGTGGCGGTTGCCTTGCCCGGCTATCGATCTATATCGTTTACGGGGGAGGGTCAACGTGGTCTGGCTGTCTTGGTTTCTAACAAATGTGCGTTTTTAGAGCACACGCTTGCGCTTGGCAACTCTACTTTGGAAGCTCAGGTGATTGAAGTTATTCCGAAGAATCGGCTTAAGTGCAGCATATTCGTACTGAATGTTTACAGCAGCCCTCGAAATCACAAGCAGGCGTTCTCCTCGGTGGTCGCAAAGGCGGCTACCCTTGCCGGCAAGTCACCGCTCGTAGCTATCGGTGACCGCACCTCACCCAGCCTGGGGTTATCCAAAGGCCACTGTTAAAGGGAAAAACCTTGTTAAAGCTATGACGGACTGTTCCTTGGAGCTGGTCACGGACCCACAGTTCCCAACCTAGTTGGGCAATTCCGTTTCCAGAGACACCACTTAGGATCAGGCATTCATCAGAAATGCGGAGAAAGTTAATTGGTTTATTTTGCAGGAAAGCCTGGGTAGTGATCACTTCATCCTCGCAGTCACGCAAAAAACCCGGGCGGCTCCACCTAAAAAGTACAGGGTGACGGACTGGGACGAGTTCAAGAAGCGCCGGAAAGCTGATGAGACAGAATATGCCACGTTAGACAAACTCTTTTCTCGACTCGCAAAGGATGAGCTCCTCGCCACCAAGACTGTCCAAGCCAACTTACAGGTAGATACGATGGACTCGCGTCTTGCGCATTTATTGGAGGCAAAAAAATCGCTGGTTGAGAGATGGCGCACACAAAAGCTAAATAGGAGGCTCCGCAAACGCATAGCTCTCCTCAATAAAGATATTGAAGAATCTTGTCAGGAGCTTTCTAGGCAGCAATGGAACGAGGTTTGCTCAAAAGTAGATGGGCAGATGCGCACCGGAGGTAAATGGAACCTGTTGAAGGTACTACTCGATCAGACAAACTCCAAAAGTAACCAGAAGTTGGCAATCGACCGCTTAGTTCAAGCACAGCGGAGCAGTGGAGTCACTGACACCACTTTACTCAGGGATTTGGCAGAGCGATACCTTCCGCTTGGCCCCTCCAGGGACTGGGATTACCCGGTCTACCAGGGAAGGCCGCTCGAGGAAATAGACTCGCCCTTTACGAACCTTGAGATCATGCACTTTTTTTTCTGCACACAGCGCAAACACTGAGATGTACCCTACCACAGATGATCGCGTCAAATGCATTTTTACCTTGACTGAAATGTCGAATCATGAAGTTCTATCGGCAACCTGTTACTGCCACCAACCCACAATAAGTGGTAATGTTTTTTCAAACAAAGCGCATCGATATTCATGGTGGCTTTCGACTTGAACGTCTTAGGAGCAATCAAAGATTTACAAAAGGCGGTAGCACGGCAGGCGGAATGCTTTGACCTCGTAGGATGTAAAGTTGCCATGATCAAAAGCAAACTCGCTCCAGGCGGGAACTATTTTGTCCCGGTGACTGCCTGTTTCACTTTTTCCCTCTGCGTGCCCCGGTACGCCAATAGGATCAGGCTCCCGTCGATATGGACGTGCCTTTAAGTCGGCAAACCAGTAGCAGCAGCCATGGCTCCCAACGCAACTGAGTTCGTCGTTTGGCAGCGGAACTGCGCGTGGTTCAGGAAGCGTAAGGCCTCCCTCCAGCAGTACATTGCTTCATTGGCAGTTCAGCCACATGTGATTGCTTTACAAGAAACCATTGACGTGGCGGTTGCCTTGCCCGGCTATCGATCTATATCGTTTACGGGGGAGGGTCAATGTGGTCTGGCTGTCTTGGTTTCTAACAAATGTGCGTTTTTAGAGCACACGCTTGCGCTTCGGCAACTCTACTTTGGAAGCTCAGGTGATTGAATTATTCCGAAGAATCGGCTTAAGTGCAGCATATTCGTACTGAATGTTTACAGCAGCCCTCGAAATCACAAGCAGGCGTTCTCCTCGGTGGTCGCAAAGGCGGCTACCCTTGCCGGCAAGTCACCGCTCGTAGCTATCGGTGACCGCACCTCACCCAGCCTGGGGTTATCCAAAGGCCACTGTTAAAGGGAAAAACCTTGTTAAAGCTATGACGGACTGTTCCTTGGAGCTGGTCACGGACCCACAGTTCCCAACCTAGTTGGGCAATTCCGTTTCCAGAGACACCACTTAGGATCAGGCATTCATCAGAAATGCGGAGAAAGTTAATTGGTTTATTTTGCAGGAAAGCCTGGGTAGTGATCACTTCATCCTCGCAGTCACGCAAAAAACCCGGGCGGCTCCACCTAAAAAGTACAGGGTGACGGACTGGGACGAGTTCAAGAAGCGCCGGAAAGCTGATGAGACAGAATATGCCACGTTAGACAAACTCTTTTCTCGACTCGCAAAGGATGAGCTCCTCGCCACCAAGACTGTCCAAGCCAACTTACAGGTAGATACGATGGACTCGCGTCTTGCGCATTTATTGGAGGCAAAAAAATCGCTGGTTGAGAGATGGCGCACACAAAAGCTAAATAGGAGGCTCCGCAAACGCATAGCTCTCCTCAATAAAGATATTGAAGAATCTTGTCAGGAGCTTTCTAGGCAGCAATGGAACGAGGTTTGCTCAAAAGTAGATGGGCAGATGCGCACCGGAGGTAAATGGAACCTGTTGAAGGTACTACTCGATCAGACAAACTCCAAAAGTAACCAGAAGTTGGCAATCGACCGCTTAGTTCAAGCACAGCGGAGCAGTGGAGTCACTGACACCACTTTACTCAGGGATTTGGCAGAGCGATACCTTCCACTTGGCCCCTCCCGGGACTGGGATTACCCGGTCTACCAGGGAAGGCCGCTCGAGGAAATAGACTCGCCCTTTACGAACCTTGAGATCGAAGAGGTGCTTCATGCGCCTAATAGCCACTCCGCCCCTGGTCCAGACTGCGTTACAAACAGGTTGCTGCGCAATCTCGACGGAAAGTCAATCGCTAAGTTAACCGAGGAGGTCAATATCCTCTGGGCAGAAGGTCGCATACCTGAGACCTGGCGTACCGCCTCTGTAATACTCATTCCCAAGCCGGGCAAGGTGCTCGCCATGGAGAACCTCCGCCCATTTCCCTCACATCTTGCGTGGGGAAGGTGATGGAGCACGCAGTACAAAACAGAGTATCCAGGTTTCCGGCCTGGTCTCTCCACCCAGGATGTGATGCTGCTGATTAAGAGGCAAATTATCGATCGACACACCCGAGATGTTCGAGGAATATTGGCCCTTGATCTCGCCAAGGCCTTCGATACGATTTCACATCAGTTTATACTGGAGCAGGTAGAGCGCATGGGATTAGGTCCCAAGTTCCACGCCTATGTTCGCGCCTTCCTCAGGGACTGCAAAGCCACCACAAAGATTGGCGGATTAAAATCAGAGGCCTTCACCCTGGATGCGAGGGGCACGCCACAGGGAGCGGTGATTTCACCCCTTCTGTTTAACATAGCCATGAAAGGCCTCTCGGAGCGCCTCTCCACTGCAGCCAATACCAACCATGCCTTATATGCCGACGACATTACAGTCTGGTGCACGGGCGGCTCGGATGCTACAGTGGAGCAGGCACTCCAATCTACTTTGTCAATCACAGAACGTTTTCTGCAGGGTACAGGGCTCCAGCTATCCGCCTCTAAATCGGAGTTGCTTCTATATCGACCAGTTCGACCCGGAAGAAGGAACGAGTCACCGCTTGATCGGGTGCAGATTACTATAACCACACGGGATGGGCAGTCGATTCAAAGAGTCAATTGTATTCGGGTGCTAGGCTTCCTTCTTGAATGTAATGGCAGAAATTCGCAGGTTTTGGCTCGCATCACCTCCAAAACAGAGAACATGCTCAGACTAATATTGAGGGTTTCAAGCTGCAGGGGAGGGCTGAGGGAGAGCAATCTCCTTCGGCTCTTCCATTCATTCTTGATGAGCCACATTAATTACATGGCATCCTCGCTAAATTGGTCTAAACGCGAGGAGGATAAACTCGACACTTTATTGCGTAAAAGCATCAAAAGGGTACTAGGCCTACCTATGAGCACCAGCATGGACCGACTCATGAGTCTGGGCATGCACAACACCCTCACGGAGGTGACGGAGGCACAAACACTAGCTCAAGTCGCGCGACTCTCCTCCACGAAAGCAGGGCAGCGTCTCCTACAGTCGCTGGGATATCATCGTACGGCAGGGGAGGAACAGAAGATCTTCTTATCACAAACAATGAAGGGCACGTACGAGGTGGCACCCTTCCCGCGTAACGTTCATCCACAGTACAATGTTGGCCAGCGAAAGGCACGGGCCAAGTCTCTCCTTGATTTCGTGGCTAAGTACACGGGTAGTGTAGCTTTCGTCGATGCGGCGCACTATGGCCGCTCCGATTGTTTTGCAGCTGTGGTCGTTGATCATCGCGGTCACGTACTCAACTGAGCTTCCGTGACGAAAGCGTCTGCCTTTGTAGCAGAGCAGATGACGGACTCTTCGCGTATAGAGATATTTACTGACTCCAGGGCTGCCGCCCGGGCGTTTGCCTCGGGGGGGTAATCTCTAAGAAGGCTGCTATTCTGAATTCCAGGGTTGTAGTAGGCCACCACACAATCACCTGGTTTCCGGCTCACATGGGCTCAGAGGTGCATCCGACTCTTCCCAACGCCAACGAACTTGCCCATAACCGTGCGCGAGAAATCACGTGCCGCGGCAGTCCGGGCGGGTACGGATATGGGTTCGCGGATAACTTTAAAGATTCACTTGGCACCTTTAACGAAGTGACGTCCCATTATCAGTTGTCTAGGCGGAGGTACCCGCTTCCGCATTCCAAGCTCACTCGGCCACACTTGTCGGTTCTTCGGATGCTATAGGCAGGTTCATTCCCATCTCATAGCACATTCAGCCACTTTGCTGATGACATACCTCAAGGATGCCCTAGTTGTGACGCACTTAACTGCACACTCGCTCACATGCTCTGGCAGTGCCCGTTGTTACCGGGCGCAAAGTTCAGCACAGAATAAGACTGGGAGAGGGCTCTTAAATGCCCCGAACTCTCAGTCCAATACTCGGCAGTCCAGGAGGCCTGCGAACGGGCGGAGGGCCACGGTCTTCCAGTACCGGCGTGGACGCGGCCAGCAACTGCGGCAGACACCTCTTAGGGGGACGTCTGACCAGTTCTCCAGGACCAAATAAAGTTCATTTCACTTCACTTCATTTCAACGCACACTGCATGCCATAATGTGCATTTTCAAAGACAATGCTGCTGTTCCTTGCACAGGCCGCTACATGCGTTTGCTTCTCCAAGATAAACAATCAGCCAATGAGGCAAATATTTCGTCACGCAGTTTACTACACCCTTAGATGTTCTTCGACACATACCACAGCTAATCTTGCCATTTAAAATGAACTTTAAGCTTCAAAAACAAAAAAAAAACTTGCTCCAAGCACCGCACCACTGTACCATGCTGAGGCACTAGCGGGATTGTACATGCGCCGGTGACATCACGCGTTGATGTACCCCTGTAGAGATATATTGTTCTTAGGATACATATCTTCAATACAATGCACTAGTTCTAGTCGACAACTGAATATCTAAGGCATTGTGCTTTCACGACTACAACTGCTCAGTATTTAGGTTCGGGTACAACATACACATGACTCAGGCAGTTAAAGGGTACTGACACCTTTTTTCTCAGGTAAGTTTACTGAGCCATACAGATCTCCTATATACCAAGGCTCTGAGCGAGTGAGTTGCTTAGTAAATGCTGATAAGATAGTTTATTATAATATAAAGTCCACTTTCTCACCGCTTGCAAATCGAAATCAACGCTAACTTGATGTCAGACTACAGTACTACAAATCCCGATGACTTCACGCAGTAGTCTGCCTAGATGAGATGACGTCAAGCTCCAAAATACAGAAAATGACAGCTTACACGTCACCTTCTCGATCGCCTGTTCACGCCTTGCGATCGTGCCATCGCTGTCATACAGCGTACCTGTGAAGCGAGCTAGCAGAGTCTGGAATAGTGTATGTGCACACGAATACAAGATATACGCTTGTCAAAGGGTAACGGAATCATTTGATTTTGAATTTCTCGTCATGGCACTAGTATAAGTAAGTCTTGCGTGAATAAGTTTTTCATGATGAAGCCTTGCGCCAGTGAAACAAGAGACAATAGGTGCAAGTTCTACCGATTCCCATCCGATCCAGCACTGAGACAAGCGTGGGTAGACTTCGTTTGTCGCAGCCCAGGCGGACACTGAACGCCAACCAAGCGGAGTTTACTCTGTTCACTGCACTTCATTGTGGACGCGTACATGTGCAACATGCCGTTGCTGACTGACTTCAGATTGTCGATGAAGAACAAAGGGGCACAACTGAGATGCCATCCCCTTGTTGTGTCCCCCTCCTGCAACAGTTTCCACATGAGCAGACGAAGCAGATGCGCGGACGAGGATACGACACAAAAACTTGCAAACGCACATACTAATAGCAGGTGGCACTGCTCATACTATGTCGTGACGTCAGGGTACAGTAGGAACTGGAACTAGCTTTTAAAGGCATGCTTTAATTACTTTTTCAGAGCACACTCAAGCTTACTGGTACATTTCCTAAGCTCTCGGCAGCTTGGCCTATCATTTGACGAGCAAAAAAAAAGCGATAAGTGAAAAATTTCGTGTTACGTAGTAGCACTTTAAGGGCATGCTGGTGCTCCTGGTAGCGGAAATAAAGTACTATTGATCAAGGATGAAATCCTGCCTGTTGGATGGTGCATCACCATCATATGCTTATGCTCCCCTCTGGATGAAGGCTATTTGCAATCCTTGAGAACAAGGGGAGGGTCAAAAGTTCCCAGGCCACACTGCCATAGGAATACAGTAAACGGAAACCTCTTAATGTGGAATTGCCACTAAAATGAAAGAACTATCTTCTATTGGTTTATTACTAACATTCTGCACCCTTGTTAATTTCTCAGTAAATGGAACTCCTGTTGAATTGAAGATATTCTGCAAGTTCCTACAGGTTTTGTTTAACTAGAGTACACGGCACAGTGACTTGGGAGCTTTTGACAGGCCCTGTACTTCCATTTGGCCCCCTACAGCTTTTGCTGGTCACATCTTATGTATGGTCATTTTGTCCCTTCTTCAGACTACCTAGTAGTCCAAATGCCTTCAACCACAACGGGCCACCAATTATACATCAAACACATTACGTGGACCCGTCAAATCCACTTCATCCTCTTCATGAAAACTTAAGATATCAGCCACCCACACTTGTCACACGAATGTAATATAAGAAACTAATAGGAAATTGATAGTTTATGAATATAAATAATAATGCACCTATAAATAACCTGAAACTCACCTGTGAAGCTTTCCTCGAAACCTAGGGCAGCCTGAGCCTCAATATCTGAAATGACAGTGCCAATGAGCAAAATTATAGTAGATAAATAATAAAAAATCCATTACGTAACAGACACCTGATTGTATATTATGCACACATTGATTACACACTGTCTGTATAACATCTAAAGAGTAGTAAAAAAATATATAAGGGTTTCGTTTGTGTTGGGCATGGCACTACATGGCATCAATTGAAAAATGCATTACCCGAGTTACACACTGATAAGCCTACATACAACAGACTACTGATGTCAAATGATTGCTTGTCATAATTGCCATGTTGAAAAGACAAAAAATCAACGCGAAATTGGAAAAACTCGGCAAAATGCAGCCAACTTGAGCCAACAGCAGTAAAAATAGTCAAAAGTAGGCGCACATCTGTGAAAACGAGTTCCACACTATTATTTACATGACTAAGAAGCGTATCCGTGAAAACGTAAATATACGCTGCATTCAGTGCTCACTTGAGAACTATCGAATATCCGATCTCTCATGTCAATGAGTGCACAGAGCCCTGGGTGTGGATTGCTGTCGATTCCTGTTCCCTTGAAATTGTGGTTTAAAGCTGCTTTCAGCAATGAGTAATCCGCAAAACAAGACCACATGCAATCGTTCTCAGCAAAGAGCCACTCAAACGCGTTTTTTTCTGTATTTGTGTGTGCGAGGCCTGCTTCACTAAGAGGTTGTAAATGTGTAGTTTCCATATGTAATGTAATAATCGACCGTTGACCCTCACTCCCGTTTAGGCCACTGCACCCTGCCATTTTTATTCAAAGTGCGAAATTCTATTTTTGGAGCTAGAAGGACGCTTTGACTACCGCATTTTGTCACCGTACTCGAACACTACAGGCTGCGACGTGACCAGATATTGATAATTATGCTAAAGATTAGGGGACGAGAAAATAGCCAAAAAGGAGTCAAGTAGACAATTTTCCTTCCACCACCGGCCTAAAGAAAGGTAGCCGAATTGGCGCAAAGTAGCCAAACCTGGCAACCCTGTCTCTCCTCAAGGAGTTCTCGATGCGAATAGGCAGAATTTAGTAGAATGACATGTTTTCAAGACATTTGCAGCCATGTTGCAGGGCAAAGAACAGCACAGCTTTGGAAGTAATGAAACTGCTTCTTATGCTAGCAAGTTCTGGAAACCTTCAGCAGTAACAAGTTGTGAAGGCATACACTCAAACCTCATTATAACTAGAGTTGTATTTTACATGAAAATAAGTTCATTATAACCAAAAATTTGTTATAAATGTATACTCTACCACTACATTTATTGCAAGACCGTTCACTTACTTTGTTATAACCGATACTTCATTATATTCAGATCCTCTAAATTGAGGTTTGAGTGTGATTCCATGGCCGCTGAATAAAGAAGGTGAGGCCTGTTCCGTGCCGCCGAAGCGGCATCTTGAACTTGATTCACCTCTCTCCCTCTCCGACGTCAACACTACCCTCTAGGAGAAACTCTTCTCCTCTATAGGAGAAACATTTCTCGAATATTTCTCTTCATCGAAACAATGAAACCAACTCCGACTTGGAGCGTTGTCCCGGCGACAATCTTCAAAACAGTAATTCCATGGCAGCATCACTCGATTCTTCAATATCAACTGACCGCACTACACAACTCACTTGAACTGCTCAAAGATCACAACTTCTTGGCTGAGTTCACCAACCATCCTACCCTCCGTCACCTTTAGTTTAGATCCTTCTCGGTTTCCCAAACATTTCAAGTAATTGCACGGTGACATGGCGACAGCCTGGGGAAGGGGCTTCGTCTCGCTAATTTGTCTGCAAAAACGGCTGCCCCCAAAAGAGTCCCCGCTTCGATGTCTCGACTTCTCCCGATCTGTGTGGGCTGTCACGTTTAGAGAGAAAGGGCATGCCCTGGACGCCTTTTGATTCTTGTTTTCTTGTTTCATTGTGCGCGCCAGGGAAGGGAGAAGTTGGCACAGTGATCTGATGCTGTCGTCCGGAGGCAGCGGCAGCAACAGCCCTCGCATGTGATAAAAATAAGTGCTCTGTTATGAATAATACACACCCCAATATGCTTCTCAACACTGTAGATCCCAGGGGAATAAGTTGTACTTCTCTGTAGCATCTTTTTCGCGTTCGAGATGCTCAGCGGCACACAACAGCTTTGCGGCGCCACACCACTGAAAAACCAGTCTGCACACACGCGCACACCAAGGAATCGTACTCGAGCGCAGGAAACATGAGGCAACCTACCCCCCCCCACACACGATCACATACAAATAAAGATTGAAAAAGCACATGGACGCGCACAAATCTTCACGCAATCCCACTGTAATGCGAAGTATCGTCCGCTTTAATGGGTGGAGTGTCAGCGCCCTTACCAAAAAAGCGGCCGCAACTGTCAACTTGGCATAGACGCGCTTGACCATTAACTGCGACGCTACAGGCCACGCCTTCTTTTTATCCAGCGGCCATGGTAATTAATTACAAATTAGTGAAGCCAACTCTTTTATGTCAAATCCGAAGAGGCTATTTACATATGTCACTATTACAGTAAAACATCTACTTGGGATCTACCATGTTTGCACCATCAGCACTTTGTAGTCATTTCATTTCCACAACTTCACCACTCACCTGCATCAGATACATCAAAGCGTTCCTTCAGGTATGCGCTTGAACTCATCAAAGGTGCCTCCTATAAAGCATAAAGTGAATGTGAAATTATGCCACAATTCTATCCAATATCACTGAAAATCAACCCATTATTTTGCCCTTAGCACTATGCACAAGAGATGAGCTTTTCTCAATGTTGAACTCCAATGTTACATTTAAAAAGAAAGCTAGAAACAAAATACATGCTGAAGCAGCATAATTCACAGATTTAAATGATTTTTTAAATGCACGCACTAATGAGCAACTGCTTGTGACTGCCATATCATGTTACAACAAATCTGATCGCTAACATTAATGTTGGATCTCATATAAGGGTTTGAGTCAAAATTACGCTATGTCACCAACTGCAAACATCATTACATGCATTACTTTGCCATAAATTTTTGCATCACAATCCACCAGTATTGTACTCACACTGACCAATCCATTATTCAGAAAAGCAGTCAGCCAGCTATTTCATAAAAGCAACATGAGCATAAAATGACTTGGCTTCTCTTCTTTTCACTTTTCCCTGCATTTTGATGGCTGCAACCAGCTTCAAACAGCTCATGATACAGCACAACAGGAGATAGGATAAGAGGCATGATGTAGACGAGTGCTGTACTCCACCATATGTGTCCACCCTTTGTCTGCTATTCTAATCCCCTCAGAATACCACACAGCCAGATCACTCGCACTCTTTCCAATATTTGGCCCAGCTAGTACATGCTTGCTCTCCGCTATTAAACGATGCTATTCCCCAAGCGTTCTTACGCATCTTCTACCGTGGTGAATGAATAAACTCTGAGCAAAAACAAAAACACACGAGTGCAAAGTAGACAACACACCTGCATGAAAAGTTGTCAGCAAGCTTAACACGAACACTCAAAATACATGACGATAGTTATAGCGCGAGAACAGAACGACGACAAAGAGACAAAGTTCACGTCGTTAATCTGTAAAAGGTTTTAAACTTACGTACGAGGCAGCAAACGTGATATCTGTAGCAAGCGAGATTACAACGAGCCATTTCCCGACATTAAACTATCAAGCGCAGTTGATAGGGACAGCATCGCACGTGCCATTTCGAGCTGCATGCGGCCAGAGCCATGCTAGCAATATAGCTTATCTGTCGCCGAGGAAACCATCCTCCTCCCCGAGCCCGCACAGCGTGTCAAGGCATTTTTTCCTTTTCTTTTTCTTCCCTCCGGCCTTCGTTCGTTCACTCCATCGTCCCTCCTCCAAAACAACCTCGTCGCTCGCTCTCCAGAGGTGTACCCAGAGCCCCTCCTTTCAGACGCGCGCTCGTTACCGCGATTGTCACAAATATTTTCTGGCAACTGCATTATAATCGGCATCTCATCTTGGGGGACTGCCCAATAAATGGTATGCATATACATTAGGTTTTATGGGAGGGTGAATGGGAGTTGAAAAAGACCACATTGTAACCAGTTCTCCCCTATAGGTGGTTACGTCAAAAGTGGTCTAAACTATAGTTTGATTGATGCTAGTTCCGCGTAGCTTTGGGTTCTCTTCCTGAGATGTTACCCATGCATGCAGACATACTATCCAAGCATACCGAAGTGTCAACTTGGCAACAGCGCCTAGCACTTCGCAGCTGGCATCAGTCAAGGTAGTCCATGTCACGCGTTGAAGCATTCGTGTTAAAGGAACATTGACATCAAATTTGCTCATGTCAAGATTTTTGCGTCAACGAGTAGCTATCAACCCCCTAGTAGCGATTCGCGACCTAAAATGCATCTGAGTGATGAATGAGTATCTGTAATAATGATTAATATATTCGCTATAGAACATTGTTCAAAATGGGTGCAAAGCCCGCCAAATTATACTGCTGGCAGCGCTACCTCGCGGCCACGTCGAGGCCACTGCACAGCTGATGCCACTTTCACAAGAAATGGTGACGTCACACTAGCGTTCCGTCTGCTAGGAGCGCATGTACAGTCAGTCCAGCTGTGTCTCTGAAGGCATAGACATGCCTCTGTTGCCAACATCGTCGTCCTCGCCGTCGTCAACACTGGCAAGTGACAATGACAGCGATCTGGAATTGGGTATCACCGCGATTTGCGACGATCCTTGCTTGACAAGCTCTGCGTTAGATGCAATGCATTTATCAGTCCCAGCCGTACTGTACGAGCTAAGGAACACCAACTATGCACCTCATGTCGCAAACATTTGGCGAGTGATTTAATTCTTTCAGCTTCAGCAGGGCACACGGTAGGAATAGCCCCGGCCTCGAGAAGAGGCCTCGTACTGCCAGTGAAACAAAACTGGTTCCCCAACACATGATTTACCCAGTAGCAGCTCGGCGCAAAGTGAAGCGAGCGAATGTGGCTGTTTTTCTTAGGCACTCAGTCCCTCTGTCCACCAGCGCGTACGAAGTCAACCCACTGGCTGCGTTGAGGTTCGTGGCTTGGAAAGGCATGAAACGCCACGCTATTCCCGCTTTTTCTGCACCTCGACACGCAGGTTTACACTACGCAGCGGTTCCCCGACATTCTGGCACGTATTGTCACTCTGGATGGTCCTACTCACATGCAGTGGAGCACAGCGCAAATCAGTCGATGCGACACGATGAATCGCATGCAAGCTTCAACACAGCAACGAGCGCCACTAGTGAAAGCATGGCTGGGAGTCGGCTCCAAACACACTCAGAGATTGTCGACGTCATCGTTACTAGCGTATCATCACTCAGGATGGTAATTGCGGAATGCATCACACCCAACACATAGTACTAGTGTCGATGTCGCATGGCAGTCTATTTTTCGTTTTTTCTCCTTAGTTTTTCTACGCTGTTTGACATCAAAATAAAATAGCTTGACGCAACAGACACCATTCAAACTTGGCCAAGAAGACCTATGCATACCATGTAATCGAATGATGGGCACATCTCGATCTCTCAATCTTGAAATTGGACGTCAGTGCTCCTTTAAGCTTGCTGATGACTGTATTTCTGTTTGCCAAACTTCCACGGTGCTTTTGTGGCGCAAAACTACAGCATAAGACAGATGACAGGTGAAAGTGTTGTCATCCTATCTGTCTTAGGTAGACGTGTAACCCTAAAGATATCACTATAAAATAACACTAACTAGCCCACCAACCCACTGTGGTGCTAAAAGTCCCGTCGTCCTGCAAAGCCAGCTGGATTAACTTGAATGGACTTCATTCGTAGACCAAGCTGTTAACTCATGGTGGTGACCAGCCACCTTATGCCAGGTAGTTGGAGACCTGCGCCTAGAGCCCAGCCACTATTACAAGGCATCACTGATCCTATTGACTCCTTGACTATCGAAAAATGGCATGCACCTCATTGCTTTCTTTTGATTGATTTTGCTCCAAGTACACGCTAGGTGTACTTATACCGTCTTGCTTGCCCATACAGTGTGATCAAAATTATGATCTCGAAATAGAGAACTTTAAGGAACATGAAAAAAACTTTTTCAAGTAAGCCGTGTATCCATGAGGACACAGACCGAGATGATGATTATCTCTGCCAGCTGTCAAATAAACTAAGATTAAATGATGAACTTTGTAAAATATGCAGTCAGCAGGCATGCCTGTACTGAAAAGTTGAAAACAGCTATGTTTCTGAACAGTTTCCCTTGGGAGAATTCTTCTAGCATGTCCATGGTCAAAGATCTCTGGCTGCAAAGTTTAACAGTGGCTCGCATGATTTCGCAATCGAGAAAGTGATGATCGGCACAAAGCTCCTCCCAAATGCCCCACAGCTGTTTCGTCCACCATTTAATCTGAGGAGTCGAAGGCATAGTAAAAGAAGACAGCAGTTAACTTTCTACTACTGGCTGAGAATGTCAAGGAATGACTGCATGTCACATTAGGGAGGAATCGTGCATGGACCCTCACTGTCTTTCATGCCTAATCATGCAAACTCCTATTAATCTTTGCAGCCAGATATCTTGGAGCACAGACATGCATGCTAAAAGAATCCTTCCAAGTAAAACTGTGTGGAAACATAATGGCCTCTGACTTTAAAATACAAACATGCCCACTAGATGCAGTCACTAAGAAGTTCACCACTCAATGTTAGTTCATTGGGCCTACAGCAATGACAATTATATCACTCTGTATGCCCCTAACCATGCAACTTATTAACAGATTGTTTTAATTACTGTTCAGTGGCTAATTTTGAGAAAATCATAAATTCCATTTTGATCACTTTGTATAATGTCCTACGAAATTAGAACATGCAAAGCAAAATCACAGAGATGAGTTTTATTAGCAATAATAAACACAATGTCATTTTTGAACCTCAGACTGCTGTTAATGAAACATTTTCACGAATTGTAATTAATATAATTAGGCATTCATAGAGCAGCACTAGACTTGCTTTCCTCCTATTAAACTGCACGCTTTGCTGTATGATTAGGATTTTTTGGCGATAGTATCTAGAAGCATACAGTAAAATAAATAACACTATTTACATAGCTTCAAACAGCATAGGAGTCAAAATGTGCATCATGATGGCATGAACATTTTACAGACACTATGAAAAAAATTTATTGCCGCCTCATTTTATGACCTACGCAACTATTAAAAACTAACAAAAACACAAGTCACCTCCATCACGGCCTGTTCAGCAGCTGGCGACCTTGCCGATGTACCGAGAAGGCTGAAATCTGAAAATGCATGAAAAAAAAATGCACTCAAATTTCTGTTGACAGAAATTGCACTTTAATGTCTCCTTAGAACATCCAACCTCCCAGGAATCCCTCGAGCAGGCACACCCAATCCAACACAAGGAAGCATTGACATAACCTAAAATCAGTTCTCAAGAAAGTTGTTTAAAAAAGAAAGCCTAGCAGCCCAGTGGCAAGCAGTGACAGCATAACGTTTCGCTACACAGAACAGTATGAAAACACTCGACAGGTTCCCCATTCACACTTTGCAAAAAGAACTAGTTTAACACCCCACACATTAACTCTTCGACACGAAAAGAGAATGTGTTGTTCTGTTTCTTTTTTTTTTCTTTCCGTTCAGTTCAGATTTCACAACACTAACTATTCTCGCGCCATTCTCTTTTTGCAATGAAGCAAAGTTTGCATTAATACATTCATTGCATTACAGGCCGGGGTAAGAATTTTTGAATCCTAATTTAGAAGGTGCCTCATAACCTCCTTGACTAGGCTAGCAGTCTGAAGTAACCCCACGTGGTTTCTTTTTTATATACATAAATGACTATGATAGTTTAAAAGATAACTAAATAAAAAGCCTTTATTGCTGACTATAATCACGGTGCTTTCTGTAAGCTGACTATTAAAGTAAGGGCACTGCCAAGGAGCCTTAGGAACCGGTGGTCACAAATACTTCATCATGTTTTTTTAAATACAAAACAGCACTTTATCTCAAATGCTAGAAAGTGTTAGCCATCAGCAATAGCGAACCATGCCAATGCAGTAAAAATGCTTCTTTTTTTTTAAGGAAAATTTTATATGTTCCTCTGACTTTCTAGGCCCATCTCACATCTTCTAAGCCGACTCACTCTCCTTTTGATGTAGCATTGTCTACCAATATCTTTCTAAGAAATATTACACAATGTTGCTAAAACCATGTTTGCTAGGTGCTTATCCTAAACCTTAAATCCAAACTTTTTAACACTATGAGCATGCCACGAGTACACTAAACGCATATATAAATGAAGCAAGTTTTCTTTTTTTAGAAAGAAGTGATGACATAATTTTACATCTAATTTTTTCTGTCGGAATAAGTAGATAATGACACTTTACATGGCTGGAAAACTTGCTTGCTTGAGCACACGACGGTCAATTACCTGGAGATTGTTTTACAGCACGCAGTCCCAGTTTCTTTTCAAAGCAGGGCCCAGAATAGTTTTCATATATTGGCCGTGCGTGCACAAAAAACCCCGTTCGCACGAGCCCCTCTTTGACTACTTTTCAACTAAGGTACACTGGGTGGTGCTATTTCTTCAAAGATGTTGTAAATATGTGTGACCCTTAAAAAATGCACTGCTGAGGCAAGAAGCTCCAAGCTTTCATACTTCTGTATAACTCCATAAAGAAGCTACCCCATCTTTTCATTGCAAAGATCTGTTATAAGAGAGAGCTGGCAAGGATCACGGTAGCCGGCGCAGACTAATAATGCTGGTGGGTGTTTATATTAAAACTTAGTTTCTGTCACTGTCGTGAGGTGAGGCGCTTCGTGTGCTTTTGGATGACATGAATAGCGAATTTCATTTTAAATCTGTTCTAAGCTATTATAGCCGTTGATATTTTGTAGGTCATTCATGTGTGTCAACACAAATCTGTTCTGCAAGTTATCTCGTCTTCAAAATTTTGTGTCAGTACTCCTTTAAGTGTTTGTTAACAGCAAAATTCTTATTAGACCTTTTCCACAAGTTATTTCACCTTCAGAATTTCGGGTCAGTACTCTCTATTAACAGTAAGATTCTCACCTGATAATACTTTTGTGGAATCGTCAAAGGACAAGTATTACATCAAATATATGACCTTGTCAAACTTATTAGCAAGTAATCATTTTCTCGTCTGCCTATGTATTCCATGCATGCTTACCGATAATGTGAAAATTTCCAAGGTGTGCCTTGGTACAAATGAGGGAAAGAGGGCGACGAACAAATCAAGGAGATAAAAGCAGAAAGCGCAGTCCTACCTAGACAATCATTGCTGGCTAAGATGCCCAGAGATGAGTCGTCATCCCTGGTTTTGCGAAAGAGGTCCGTGGCAATGTCGGTGCATGCTGGGCGTGAACGGCGAATCCTACAATACAGTAATGACAGCAGGAGAAGGCAGTTTCAGGGAGGAAAACTAGCGAAGTACGGGTTGCTAGAGTTAGCTTAGAAGATTCCAACTTCCAAAACACATGCAGGGCGATTCGGTGCTATGACATTTTGACAGAATGACCCAAAGAGACCAAATGGATTTTGGTGGTGTAAGCACACCTGCCTAAGGTTCACCTTCTAGCTGAAAGAAAGAATATCCAAGTACCAAACTAATGTGCCTGCATTATCTCTTTTAACTAGTGCATAGTAACACCTGATGCTGTCATTTGGCACAGGACATGAGTATTAACACTCCTGTAACATTTTGCACACAAAGGATAAGGCTCACTTAAAATTTTGCAAACACACGAAACTGCAGCAACTATTGCCCTTGATGCTCTATGAACCTCTTAATGAACGTGGGGTTGGCTTGTAAGCATAAAAATCTGCCACGACAGAAGTTAACTACATGCAGTCTTATTATATTTCTATAACCTCACAATATTCTACTGCTTCTACTTCTCCAGAGTTCTTTTGCATTCCATTTCCTTTCTGATACCTGCTTTTTAGGTGTGAACCTCAAATTTAGATGGTTGTATGAAATGATTCTTGAATTTGCAGTGATGCAATCGACCAAAGCCATAGTAGTGTAGCTTCCAAAGCTGCTAGAACCTCACACTGAGGCAGCAATTCCGCTTTTTGAAGCAGTTATCAGTCTAACATTTCCAAACGTGAATATTTAGTGTCTAAGCTAATGCAGTTGTAGCCTCTTAAATAAAATTTATATATTAGTATGCACACATGCAAGTACTTTTCAATACAATATCGCAAAAGACAATTACTGCTCTTTTGAAGTTTAACCAGCCTTTCTCAGAGCTTAAAAGCTCGATAATTCATTGAGCCTTTCCCCAACACTGTAAGTGCAGCACTAGCAATAAAAGGGCAGGCGGCATAAATTTTCTGTGCATGTTTATAACTAACAAAAAAAAGTTTATTGATGCCTGGCTCCAGTACAACCCAAGCCTTTTGTTTGAGGTGAAGTGCTCGCTGTTTTCCTTAATTGGCAGATTAACAAGAATCCTGGTTCATGGGCAGTTAATTAAATACATAGCAATAACTAACTGGTGCTTTATGCCTGAAATCTACTGTAATGGAGACTCCATAATTAGCTTGGACAAGTTATTTCAACAAGAGGTTTTCCCTCTGTTGAGTAGCACAGCAGAGATACCAGAATATAGCGATGTGATGCATTCTCAGAGAAATCCTAGGTGGTCATTGAAACACGTGGCATCATCCACAGATGGATAGCAATTTTTGATGATATTCCCAAAGACATTAGCCTGCTTTATTGCTCGTTTTTTACTTCAGAATCGGCAATAAATTCTGACCAACGTTTGGCATTATGCCTAAGCACCCTGACTCAACATTTATAGAAGTCCATTAGAGTGCTGGAAACTTTTGTTAAACAACTTAGCTAAAACGATATGGTCTGTTTAAGTACATACACTCCCTAATCATTGCAATCATTCAAGTAAGACTGCCATCCTACGAAAACATGCAACCGCACCTAGTGTGATGATGTTTATTCGAGCAGAGAAGTCGCAACGAGGTTGCAACAAAAAAATGGCCGTATGGCAAGTCTGGCAAAGGCGGCACAGGCTCTCGCGCAATCAGAGCACGGGGCTTTTCGTTATCTTCCGAAGGTGCATACGCGTTGGTGCGTATGCTCCACTACAATACCCCCCGGGGTGAAGAGTAGCCATCCTGGCGATTCAGGGAGTAGGCACAATGAGGGGGTCGTAGTAGGGCTTGAAACGGTAGACGTGTACGGTCTCGCGCCCTCGACGACGCAAATCTGGTGATTGTGTTAGTGGCTCGATGATGTAATTCACCGGGGAGGTCGCGTCAATGACACGGTACGGACCATGGTACCAGACAGGCCAGGAACATGCGGGGGCACCCAAAGCCACACAAGGGAGCCAGCACGAAACGTAGGAGCTATGTGGTGAACGTTGTCATGTCGAGTCTTTTGTAGACCTTGAGCCTCACTTGCCAAAGACCGAGCCAACTGACGGCAGTCTTCAGCATATCTGACGACTTCCGAAAGCGGGGAGCACTCAGTTGCATCAGGGCGGTACGGAAGTATAGGGTCGAGTGGGTAAGGAGGTTCGCGGCCGTACATCAGAAGGAACTGGGAAAAACCGGTAGTCGCTTGCGTCGCGGTGTTATAAGCGAAGATAACAAAAGGTAATACAGCGTCCCAGTTAGTGTGGTCGGAGGAGGTGTACATCCTCAGCATGTCGCCAAGTGTGCGGTTGAAGCGCTCAGTGAGACCATTTGTCTGTGGATGGTATGCGGTAGATTTCGGGTGGATGATGTTGCATTCAGCGAGGATAGCTTGGATGACCTCCGACAGGAACACTCGACCCCTATCACTGAGTAATTCCCGCTGAGCACCATGGCGTAGAATGAAGCTGTGGAGAATGGAGAGTGCAACTTCGTGGGCGGTCGCTGCCGGTAGAGCTGCAGTCTCAGCGTAGCGTGTCAGATGATCGACGCTGACAATAATAGACCGATTTCCAGAGCCACTATATGGGAGGGGGCCATAGAAGTCAATACCCACGCGGTCGAATGGACAAGACGGGCATGGGAGCGGCTGTAACGTGCCAGTAAAGTGCCGTTGAGGTGTCTTGTTTTGTTGGCAAGTTGTGCAAGACTGAACGTATTTCTGCACAAAGCGATACATTCCTCGCCAGTTATATCGTTGGCGCAGCCTTTCGTAGGTTTTCAGGACACCTGCGTGAGCACTTTGGGGATCTGCATGGAAATTCATGCAGATGTCAGAGCGCATATGAGTTGGGACAGCAAGGAGCCCCTTCCGACCACCAGGCATGTAGTTGCGGCGGTACAGAATGTTGTCTCGTAAGGAAAAGTGGGCTGCTTGCCGGCGTAGCCCTCTCGTGGAAGGGACAGCAGACGGATCGGTAAGGTAGTCGACTAACAAGGCAAGGTATGGGTCTTTACGCTGCTCTGAAAGCATGTCAGTGGTGTCAAGGTGGTAAAAAGGGGTGACAAAGAAGCCACATCTGGTGCTAATGGCGATCGGGAAAGTGCATCGGCATCCGCATGCTTGCGACCGGAACGATATACAACACGGATGTCGTATTCCAGCAATCGAAGTGCCCAACGCCCCAGGCGTCCGGACGGGTCTTTCAAGGTGGACAGCCAACATAGAGCGTGGTGGTCTGTGACCACGTCGAAAGGACGGCCGTAACTTCGTCAGCGCCCAGATTATGGCCAAACACTCCTTCTCTGTCACGGAGTAATTCAATTCAGCCTTCTTGAGAGCGTGACTTGCATAAGCGACTACGTAATCGGTTTGGGTGCCTTTTGTTGTGCCAAAACTGCACCAAGACCAACGCCACTTGCATTGGTGTGAATTTCTGTGGCAGCAGTGGGGCCGCAGTGGTGAAGAATAGGTGGTGTGGTCAGCAGGTGGCGCAGCTGGCGAAATGCGTCGTCACATGCTGGTGACCATGCAGATATACCTTTGCTGTTGGAAAGCAGACTTGTCAGAGGTGCAATGATGGACGCAAAGTTGCGCACGAAGCAACGAAAGTAGGAGCAGAGACCAATGAAACTTCTTAGGGCTTTCAGTGATGTGGGCATTGGGAAGTCAGCGACAGCTCGAAGCTTATCAGGATCCAGAAGAACACCATCTCTTGTGATGATATGTCCCAAGATGGTTAGTTTTCGTGCTGTGAAGTGGCACTTCTTTGTTAAGTTGTAGGCCTGCAGAAGTTGGACCCGTCAGAATCTCTTGGAGACGACCAAGATGTGTCGGGAAATCAGATGAAAAGACTACGATGTCGTCCACGTAACACAAGCAAGTTTTCCACTTGTGAGCGCGGCGCAAGATGGTATCGATCATGTGCTCAAATGTCGCAGGCGCGTTACAGAGCCCAAATGGCATGACTTTAAACTCATATAGGCCATCCGGCGTTACAAAGGCTGTTTTAGGGTGATCACATTCAGCCATTGGCACCTGCCAATACCCAGAACGCAGATCCAATGATGTAAAGTACTCGGTGCCTTGTAAACAGTCAAGAGCATCGTCTATTGATGGTAGCGGGTAGGCATCTTTCTTCGTAATCTTGTTTAAGCAGAGATAGTCCATGCAAAATCGAATTGTGTTATCTTTTTTCTTTACTAGAACCACAGGTGATGACCAAGCGGTTTGAGAAGGCTGTATGACTCCACGTTAAGCATGTGATCTACTTGCTCCGTAATGACGCGGCGCTCTTCGGCGGAAACACGGTAAGCACGCTGTCGCAGAGGCGAATGTGAGCCGGTGTCAATAGTATGAGTGACAGTCATGGTGCGGCCCAAAGCAGGTTCTTGAAAGTCGAAAGAAGAGTGAAACTTGTTAAGGAGAGCAACAAGTTGGCGGCGATACGAGGATGGCGATGCGAGGGGGGAAGGTCCGCATCAATAGCATTGTCAAAGGCTAACGAACTTGATGACTCAGACGCACGAGTGATTATGGCAATGTGACATGGGGTTTCGTCGGGAAGAATAATATCATTGATATGGTCGACAGGTTGTCTACATCCTAAGGTTTCACCACGGAGTAAGCCAATGGGTTAGTTGCCGGTGGTTGGTAACCAGCATTACAGTTAAACCACACGCAATTGTAAGAATGGCAAATGGGAGAACGATGCCCTTGCGTTCAGTAAAAACCGGAGATGGCATGAACATCACCGTGGCGTCAAGTTGTGCTACACATGAAAGGCTAATAGGGACTGAAGCTTCCGGGGCAAGGTGATGTAGTCAGCGATGAGTTTGCAGAGCAGAGGAGAACGGTCGGGCAATAGAAATTCACATATTGGCACAAGGGACACTTCCGCATGGGAACAATCGATGATAGCTTCATGACGTGATAAGAAATCCCAACCCAGGATCAGGTCATGAGAGCAAGATGGTAGAACAAAAAATTGG